GAAAAAGAGAACACTATGGTCTGGTTTTGTGTCTGACTCCATTACGGGGCTGTGACTTTGGGAAAATGGTGTAACTTCTTTGTGTCTTAGCTTATTGGATCTTCTCCCTGTTTATTATTATTGGTACCTATCCTGCCTACCTTACAGACCATTGTGAAGAACAAGTGACACTTTTATATTTGAGTGTGTTTTCATACAATTGCAAAGGGCTATTTCACATAAAGTAGCAATTAGTTTTTCTTGACCTTCCTCATGTCTGCCTCCCTTACCAAAGTCAGAAATAGAGACCTCCTCTAGGATATACTCAGCTGGTCAATGCAGAGACCTATTCGTGGTCCCCTCTCCTTTGTCTGAGAAATTGAGGACCTGATGCTAATCTGCTTCCTAGATAAATTAGTAAGTCAGCTGATTGGTTAACAATATCAGTGTGCCACTTCATCTTTCACACAATCAGATCAGCTACAGAATTTGGGGAAAATACGAAAATCTAGCTTTTAACTAAGTCTGTGCTGTGCAAATCTGATTGTTGGTGGTGTTTCTGTGTGTTGCTTAATCACATTCAGATCTGTGGTGTGGAAAGAAACTTAAGCCAACTCATAATGGCAGAGAACTTTCAGCTCCAGGGAGTTTTCTGGGAATTCATGATTTAATGAGGTTAGACCCATTTTTTTTTTTTTTGAGTAATTCTGTGGAATGAATGTGCAAATTTACCTTAAATATTCTTTAAAGAAAAAAGTATCCAATAGCTATCTTAGAATAAGAAATGAAAGTTGACTAGCATTCCTTATTCCAAACCAACTTGCGTTGCTTTTAACTGACCCATTTCTGGACAAATTTAAAAAACATTTAGTACCTTTCTCCTTGTATACCAAATGTAATTTCCTGGTTGAATGCAACTACTTCCTCTGCCTAAATATGGTTGAGATAAAACTATATTGTGGCTGGGGGCTGGAGGTTTAGCTTAGCGGCATAAGTGCCTGCCTTGCAAGCAGGCAGTCGTGAGTTCAATCCCCGCTACCGATAAAAAAAAAAAAAAAAACAAAAAAACAAAACTATATTGTGGGAGGAGAGGGTTGAGTCCAGCCACCAAGAATAAAGATGGTCCAACAGCTGATGAGAGGTACAGAGTCTGCTTCACCTAGTGGCCAGCACAGACCAGTTTCAGAGGCAGCTTTGGAAGATGTGTATACTTTTCATGACTTTTTGAGTCTCTAAAGGTTTTTCAGAAATGAAGAAAACCCACTGCATTCCTTCACTCTCTCTCCATTTAAAATTTTGGTGTTTTGAACCAAGAAGCTCCCAGCGGTAACCTGCCATTCTGTGGAATGTGCATTTTAATTTAAAATGAAAAATTGAGTCTGTAGTCCTTTGCCAAGTGAAATCACTGAATTTCTAAAAATGAGTTTGGTTTTTAACAAGCTTAGAGACATACACAACCATGCTCACATGAATCCAGCTGTTCCAGTTTAGAGAATGAAAATGATCCAAAGCCGTGTTTGGTACGGTTGGCTCTCCCAAAGCACTGTAGGTTGTGTTGTTACTCAGGTTTACATAATTCTCTCATCTTCTGAGTTTTGGAAAAATCTTCTCTCTTGGTTAATATGTTGAACAGTTATATGATCCTAGACTATATGCTTTGCAAACATATAAAAAAAATACACGGATCAGCGTAGGATTTCCATTGCCATGGTCTGTCTTTCTCCTCTTTGGTTTTACGTGAGCTATTCTTGTCTGACTATAATCCAGCTTTCTCCACCATGCATTTCATCTCATGAGCAGTGCTTTCTCTGCTTTAGTCTTTCCATCTGGGAAAAAGGGAAAATAAGAATAATCCTGATTTTTAGGGGGGCTTTCAGGATTCGTTATGATAATCTATATGAAACTTTTAGCAGAATGCCTGATGGTGAATGCTCGCTGCTAGGATGATCAGTTTTGCCAGTTTTCATGTTGTTGGGCTTAGTGACAGGACTGAGGGCAGTAGCAGCCACTTGTAAGAGCTACTGAAAGTGCAGACTGGGAACCTCAGTCCCCTGCTTGTCCTCTAGTAGGGAGAGTATTTGCAATTTCTATGAGTGAACAGCTGTTTCTGTTTTCTCCATGATGGATTAAAATAATCTCCATTCCAATCTCTAATCTCCAATCCTAGTTATCTGCTGGGGTTAAAACTGGGATTTTCACTTTTTTAATGAAATATTTGGGGCTGGGGATTTAGCTCAGCAGCATAAGCACCTGCCTTGCAAGCAGGCAGTCGTGAGTTCGATCCCCGGTACTGATAAAAAGCAAAAAGACAAAATAAAAAAAAATCATAATGAAATATTTGAAATTGTCAGTTCAAAGCATCTCTGATTTTTTGATCCCTTTTTATCTAGAAAGACAATTATTCTCTTCCTGTCACCCTGACAGGCCAGGTTGTAAGAGTCCAATGGGACTCAGTTTACCTGTTCAAATCTGATACTATTACTGCCTGTAGTGGTTGTACTTGTCTCTGAAATCTCAGCTCAGTGGACTCCAACAATCTTCTTTTGCTTTTAGTCTACCTGAAAACAAACAAACAAACAAAAAAATCAAGCGCACTATAGCAAAGATCTGACCTTTATTCTTAGTCCCATGACCTTCCCTACCCCTTGTTACAGAGCTCACCATGGGATGATATCCCACATGCTCCTTCTGCATAATGAGCACTACTGCCTGACGAGTTCATGTGTGTTGAAGCCTAAGATTTAGTGCACACTGACTTTTGTTGACAGTGGTACCTTAGCAGTGAGGAGACAAGATAAGCAAGAGCTTGGCATGATTTCAGACAGAGCACATAGCATCTTTATTCATAGTGATTTCACCAGAAGACACTGAAGTCACAGTGGATCGTTGCAATCCTGAGTGACACCCACCAGACTTCTGGGACTTGTTTTGTCCCCTGACGCCTGAGGCTCTCCCATTCCACATGCTGGACCTCCAAAACATTTAGTGGTAAGGCGCTAGAGTGGGAGGACACTTGGTCATCGCCTTCCCTGGACTGAAGTGGGGCACAGCTCCATGAAAGGAGAAAATCTGGGTTTTCCCTCCTCTGTGATCCTGAGGCGCAGATAGCAGAGGCGATGTGATGTACACAGGCAGAGTTGCCACTGGTTCTCGTTTTGGCAGCATTTGTCCTTTGGCTGGAATTAAGGACCAGGGGCTGTGAAATGTAGTGATAAAGGGAATGGAAGCACCTGGGGGTAGGAGACTAACAATTCTGGGCAGTGTCTGAAGGCGAGATGGCCTCCCAACCCCCTCAGGACCTACTGGGACTGAGGACGGGAAACTCCAGGGACTTCAGGAGAGAGATAGGGGAGGAGAGGAAGCTCAGCATTGGTGAGGCCTTGGCCTTCTTCCTGGGGGCTCACTCGGTGAGAACTGAGGGTCTTCTCTGTGCTGGCACTGCTCCTGGCACCCTACACAGCCATGCCATCCTCATGAAGATATGCTAACTTGAGGGTCAGAGAGATTTAGCAACTTACCCAAGGTCACATAGCAACTAGGTAGTTACATTTGGACTAAAGTCTCCTCCTATGAAGAAGATGTATCTTTTATTTTTTGAAGACGTATCTTTGTCCCTTCCCTCTCCCCCAGGTTTTAGACAGGGACTATCTCCTAGTGTGAGAATCATTTGGGCGGACATTGATGTACTGAGATACAGTGCTTGGAGCTACAAAAGCAGCAGCTGCTATGGTTTGTTTTTCTCCCAAGGAGCTGGCTCAGGGATCACCTTCAGTAATGGAAACTGCTTTCCCCAGATAGACTCTGGGTTTCCACTGGCTTCTCTGGCTGCTAAAATAAAACTAGACTAATCCCTGAACCATCTCCCATAAACAGGTGGGGCTGCCTCTCCAGCCCCATTTGCCAGACGTGTGGAGAGGTCATTTTTCATGTGTGTCTGCCTTCCGGCAGCTGTGTCTCTGTCCTGCTCCAGCTGAGCTGCTCCTGTTACTCTCGGGCTCGCTCTGCCAAGGGGCCTCTGCACTGCCACTGCTTTGCTCAGTTACGTTTCTGCTGAACTTGGCTTTTAGGCTGAGCCTCGATTTTTCTTTTAAACAGCACAGTCCATGAGCACAGGTGAAAGTTAGCAGGGCATCGTCCTATGTATGTACAGATATCCTCTGAAAACTGGTTTCTTCCCTCTACTCTGGTACTCCTATGATCCCCCCAGAGACAGCTCAGTGGCTTCCTTAGATCCTCCAACCACAAAATCAGGGCTGGGAGAGAAGTAACAACATGCGGCACTTCGAACTAATGTTTATCAAAGCAGGCTTGGTCTGGGTTTAATCCTGCTGTGTAGAACAAAACTGACCACAACATGACAGGCATTGTCAGAACACAGAATGCAGGAGGTCCCTTTCTAGGGGCCTCCCTGGTTCCCATAGGTGTCTCCCCATTCATACCAATATTGTTCCCAAATGATTCAGAACAGGTAATGCATCTTAAAAGTATTCACTTCAGGCCACAGGAATATTCAAGTGGACTTTGCTATCCACATTTCCTTAGTGGATCCTTTTATTTTTTTGAAATAGGGTCTTGCTCTGTAATTCAGGCTGACCTTGAACTCACTATGTAACCCAGGCAATCCTCCTATCTCACAGCCTTCTGAGTGTTAGAAGTATAGGTGTGCCCTGCCAACCTGGTTAGTGGGTCCTTTTAGATTGGCAACCATGAATACCTTAAAAGAATTAGATCAAGTAAGTGAAAAACAGTTTTGAAAGTGCCTTTAGGTATTAGATTAACACAACCATTTAATTGATGGCCTTGGAAGCCAACAATTTTTATTTTATATTACTTTCTTTTGGTTTTGCTGTGTAGTCCAGACTGGCCCTGAACTCACTGTGTAGCCTACACTGAAACTGAACTCAAAGACATCCTCCTGTATGAAAGAGGGTTAGAGCACTGGGATTATAGGTGTACACTGTTATGCCCAGCAAGGAAGCCAACAGTTTTTGCGGAATAAAGAATAACAGAAGACTCATGTATAAACTTAGGGACATTTTAGAAAAAGCACACAAAATATTTCATAGCATCTTCATGTTTTTAAAGTCAGGAAAATCTTACCAAACAGTTTGACCAAACTTCCAAAGTATGTTTTTGAACATGATGCAAATACTTGAGACAAAATCTAATTTTTAAAGGAAGAATGCCTGATTCACTTCTCTAATGAGTGATCAGGGAAGCAGAAATGAGAAATGACTTCAGTTTCACAGGCAAATATATATGCATGCAAGCCTTTGAATGTCCGTTTGTTGATAACATCATTCTCCAGGCAGCGAAGAAGCTTGGTAAAAACGGGACTCTTTGGAGACAGAATTTCCAGGCAGTATGAGTCTGCAACTGGGGCACTGAGCTTTTCACCACCTTACCGGGGTTAGAAGGAGGGTCAGGCGCAAGAACACACAACACTAAACTACCTGTGCTCTTCGCAGCCAGAGAGGAAAACATGTTCGTCCTGAGGTACTTCAGAGAACTTCAGGGAGAAAATCTGGAATCCTTATCTACCTAAGTGACAGTAAAGGGCTCATTTGTAGAGGACCTTAGAGTGACTCCCTGGTGAGAGCTCACATTTCTCTGCGGGAGGTGATGTGGGCCCAGCACCGAGCCATGAGAACCTGGAGGCCAGGTAAGTGCTGTTCCTTTGCTGAATTCGCTCCAGGAACCTCAGGCCTGAAGGTGAGGCCTGTGTGCCGGATGCAGGTGTTTCTGGTCTCCCCCAGGTGTCATCCATTTCTCTTGTTTTTCTTGCTGCCCAAAGAATTCTCCCCATTTCCCCGCCCATCTTGGAGTTCAGCAGATCTATGACATAACAGAACCCTTCCAGGAAGGCAGAGGCAGAGAGGTGGGGTAACACACAGGTGAAATGACACTAAAAAAAGGCAAGCACCCAGGCCTTGGTCCCAGTGCTGGTTACCTGTTCAAAGGACTGTGTGACGACACCCAGTCCTTAGCCCTTCTAATGGGACCTGGGAGCATGCAGCATTCCTTCTGAGAAGGCTGTGGGCTGGGACTGCCTAGTGGGTGGGGCCTTGGGTCCACTTCGGCACCATACTCCGGAATTACGTCCTTCCAAGGCCCCGGAGAAAAGAGATGGACTTTGGACATCTAGAGCAGAGGGTGCAGCAGAAGTGCAAAGGTGGACTCTCCAAAGTCTTGGGGTGGCAAGTATAAGTGGCTGCCCTTTCTGGGCCTGATGGCTGGAGGGCAGAGGAGCCACTGGCTGACAACTGTCAGGTGAGGGTGGGCAAAAGCTGACCGTGCTGCAGCTTCGTCCATTTCTAACTTTCAGAGTGGCAAGCAGGAAGGCTCTCCCAGGCTTTGCCTGCATGCACAGCCCTGGCCTCCCTTCTGCCGCCTTTCTCGCAGGTCAGGCTCTCTCTGGCTCCTGTGAATGCAGGGCCGACACCCTAAAGGCGAGTGGAGCATGAGGCGGTGGGTCCCTCGCTGCAGTCACTGTATTTTTCACGAAACAGCACCAGGATGGACTGCTCTCCTTTTAACACTGGAGGCTCAGAAGACAGGGATCTGGTCCCTCCGGACCACATCCAGATCATCATCCAAAGTTAACAAAACCTGAAGAGAGAGCACAGAGACATGAAAGGAACGTACAGTGGCAGCCACATGAGATCCCCATTTCTCTGAGACTCCAACGGACTGAACACGACCTATCCCTTACCTGTTTTCATGTATTCTGCAGCTTTTTGCAGTGCTTTGCAATTAACAAGCAGTTCTAATGATACTGTTCATTTATTAACGAATTTAAATACTCATGAGCATTCATAATGAGCTCTTCTAGATACTGGAGAAATGGCTGGGATGAGAGACAAGCATCTCTCCCTCTTGAAGTGTACATTCAAGTGAAAGCTTTAGACATGAAACACATAAACGAATGACATGTAGAATGTCAGGTGTTCATATGTACTAATGGTAAAAACTCAGAAGGGAATATAGGAAATACAGTAAAAAGAAAAAAATAGAGCCAGGCTTTGTGGCACATGCCTGTAATCCCTGCACTCGGGAGGCTGAGGCAGGCAGATCGTTGGGAGTTTGAGACCAACCTGGGCTACAAAGAGAATCCAAGGCCACCCTCAATGGCGTAGGGAGACCCTGTCTCAAAAAGACAAAAAAAAGTGTGGTAGAGTAGCTTGAGGAGTCATAGTCATTGCTTAAAAGGTGATGTTTAGGTTAAGACCTACAGGAAATGAAGTTTTATTGCATGGAGTGTTTCTATATAACAAATGGACATTTCGCCTTCATTTCTAGTTGTCCAGGCCGTTACTTTCCCACATGGACCCCTATTCTCCACTTGGTTGTCGCTCTCCCTAGAAGGTGACAGGAACGCTTGCACAGATTGGATGGACCTTCCAAACTGGCCACTAGAGGGCAGCTCCGCTCCACTTGGAGGTGGGAGGCCCGCGCTCTTCAGAGGACGGTGCGGGAGCCCAGGAAACTAGCAGTGTACAGGAACCAGGACTTTTAACTTAGAAACGTTCCAAGCATGATGAAAGGATGCTGGGAACTGTCACCCTAGGTTGATAAAGGGTTTGGGCAAAACGTGCACGACAGGAGAGAACTGAACATTCAGTACTCGGTAGAAGGCAAGAGAAGCCAGCAGGCTGCCCCGGGATCTATAAAATGCTCATGAAACATCGAGGGAGACCGCAGGAGGGGAGGAAGGGAGTAACCCAGTGTTAGAGGAACCTGAACATCAGCGGTAGCTCCTGGGGGAAGTTCTGGGCATATGAGTTTAGTCCAAGTGTGCTGTGCAAGTGACAGATGCAGCTTTTGCCAGTGTGTCTAAAAACATGAAAAATAAAAAGGAAATGAAAATAAAGATCTCACTGAAGGATGAAATATAAAAAAGGAATACAAGATCTGTACATCAAATTATAATGAACTGGAGAGAGAAAAAGGAATATGAGAAGGCTATGGATTTGGAAGAGCAAACATGACATGTAAAGTAGAAAGAAAGCAACAAAAAGATCCGATGTGCTCACCAAAAACGAGAAAAACAGGGCGGTAGCGGAGAGGAAGTGCCAGACGTCATGATCGTCGAAGAAGTCCAGCAGCACACACTCGCGGTTCTTCTCCCTGGACTCGGCTGGGGTTCCCTGGAGGAAGGTAAGCGGGGCACAGGTGAGACTTTCACTGGCCTACTGTTTGGGTGTTTCACCTGCAGGAAACCATAAACATGCTTCTCAGGGGCTCAGAAAGTCAGCTTCCAGGAAGACGCAGCTCCACACACAAGCTTGTGCACAAGGTTCACAGCAGAGTCACTTCTAATAATAAAAAGTGAAGACAACCCAAATGTCCATCAGCATGTGAACAGGCAGATAAAATATACGTATCTCCACACTGTACAGTGTTCCTTAGGAGCCAGAAGACAGGAGTGCTGGACAGGTGGGCACATTTCACAGGGAACATTTCACTATATTCAAGCAGGCGGGCTGGGGATTTAGCCCAGCGGCATAAGCACCTGTCTGGCAAGCTCAAGGTTGTGAGTTTGATCCCTGGCACAAACTTAAATAAATAAATAAAAATAAATTAATTAAAGAAGCAGATGCAATGGACACATATTGTGTGATCCTGTTTATTTGAAAAGTACTGAATAGAAGAACCTATAGAGACAAAAGCAAGAAATGGTAGCTCACGCCTGTAATTTTAGAACTTAGGTGGCTGAGGCAGGAGAATTACAAGTTTCAGTCCTGCCTGGGAAACTTAGCAACTTAGTGAGATCCTGTCTCAAAAGGAGGCAAGAAAAAAAAAAAAAAAAGATGGAGGTTTATCTCAGTGCAAAAGCACTGAGGTCAGTCCTCATCAAGGGGAAAACTTATGATTTGAAAGATGGAGATCACTCATCAAGGTTTTTGCACATATCATGCGTCTACTTGGAACAGAGTCACAATGCAACATATAGTGAAGATCAAATTTGCAGTGTCTGTAGTGCTTTCAAATTTGTGAAATGTTGACCATGTGCCAATTTTAGGCATTCATGTGTGGATACTAAAAACAATCCTTTTTGGCAAAAGCTTTCAATTTAAAGAATGTTAAAAAAAAAAAGATAAAATGCAACATGCAGGGGCCAGGGATATAGCTCAGTGGCATAAGCATCTGCCTAGCAAGTGCAATGTCCTGAGTTCAATTCCGGGTACTCCCCACATCCCCAAAAAGCAACACGTACAGTAGGATAGGGAGTGGAAAGACCAAAAGACAAAATGAAGACAGAACTGTATGGAAAACAGAATGGTCCCCTTACCTCCCAGCTGCTGAGATTCTGGAAGAAAAAATACAGGGCGGCGGCCCACAGCACTGCAGTGGCCGTGATGCAGAAGAGGGGCACGAGGAGGACCTTCTCAGAACTGCGCAGCTGCGGGGAGACACAGAGGCCAGGGGTTAGGAACCACCCCTGCCGCCAGCTGGGGAGCTGGGTACCGCAGCTCCCGTGACCTGCTTACCTTCATGATGATGTAGAAGGCCAGATACAGCAGCAGGTTGCAGATGAAGATGCCCAGCATGTAGGATGCAAAGTCCCTGGGCCGGTAGATCAAGCCAAAGAGGGCACTGAGGACACAGGGGAGAGATATTGGCAGCAAAGAGGGTGCAGTGGTAACACTGTCTGCTTTTTTTTAACTACTTCACCTCTATTTTATTTTTTTGGAAGAGCGGTTTACTTAAAAACTACTTTAACACGCATTCATGTGTTACTTAAGGACGGGTAATGTTCTAAGAAATTCACACTAGACAGTTGTGTGTGAATAATGAAGCGCACTAAGGTGACCACTGTCACGAGGCAATAACGTCTTCCAGGACTGGAATTGAACGCATGGTCCTCCACTGACTGAAATGTCATTATGTGGTGCATGACTATAAAGCTAATTTTTACTGTGTTACATCTTTAAAACATTAACTTCTAATAGTGATGCAATGTTCCCATAAGTAGATGTACTGTAAGTGATCTTCTTCTCTCTTTGATAGAAATGCAGACATTTTCCAGTACCTTTTAGGATTTTTCATGATTATAAACAACACTGTAATGAATAAATGAAGCTGTCAGACATACTATTTCCTCTAACAATTAGTTTCTTAGAATACATTACCAGAGCAGAATTATCTCAATAATTGGTTTGACACATATTAAAAAAACTTTGATAACTATCCAGTTTTTTAATTTTATCTTAAAGAGATTAAAAGAAAACACAAAATCAAAACAATATAGGATTTCAAAACAAGATGATAGCAAATTAACAATGATAACTACCTTATATATTGTTATCTTCAAAATAGTTGCTGTACATGTCTAGTTTTAAAATAATACTAAGTCTATTTTGGTTGAGGTTTAGCTTTATTTTTTTTCAAATTTTTATTCATTTATAACATTGTAATTCTTTATCTCTTTATTTGAAATTGTTTTTATTTTATTTTTTATTTAAAGAAAGAAAATTTAAAAAATAGAAAAAGGTAGAATAATAGAATTCAAAAAAATTAACATCATAAAATTGATACATTGCATATTGTCTTCTTAAAAATAGTCATTAAAGTTACAAAATCAAAGCATAAAAAGTGGCCAGACACTCAAGTATTGATAGTGCAAACCCTTCTGTTCAGTGATCTGACAGAAATTTAGTAATATGGGCATCTATCTCACATACTATGCATATCGCTATATCCTATGGAGCACTTTCCTTCCCTTTCAATTTTACAATATCTATTTTATGGACCCCATTACTTGTCAGATTTTATTAATTTTTACACTAGAGAGACAATGTGATATTTACTAATGTGAGTCTTCTTTATTTCACTAAAGATATTCTCAAGGTGCCTCCATTTACTAAGGCCTGAAGATCGTCCTTTTTATAGCTTAATAGTATTCATTGTATAAAAATATTTTTATCCACTCTGTGGTTGATGGGTATTTTGATTATTTCCAAGATTTAGGTATCACAAATTGTGCTGCTGTGAACATGGGTGAACATATATCACTGTGACAGGACCTTTTCAGTTTTTCTGGGAAAATACCCAGGAGGATAATAGCTGGATTGGATGGAACCTCCAATCCTAGTTTTTTGAGGAATCTCCATACTGATTTCCACAATGGTTGCACCAGTCTTCACTCCCACCAACAGTGGCGAAGTATTCCTCCTCCTGCCCCCGCATCCTTGCCAACATTTATTATCAGTTGTTTTCTTGATGGCAGCCATTCTGTCTGGAGTGAGAGGAAATCTCAATGCTGTTTTAATTTGCATTGCTCAAATGACCAGTGATGGTGAACATTTCTTCATGTATTTATTTGCCATTTGTATATCTTCATCTGAGAACTGTGTGTTCATCTCCAATGCTCATTTCTGGAGAGGGTCTTTGAATTTGGGGGGCTTGATGTTTTTCAGTTCTTTGTATGTTCTGGATATAAGTCCTTTGTCTTGAGGGATTGTTGGCTAAAATTCTTTCTCATTCTGTGGGTTTTCTTTTCACTTTGTTGGTGATTTCTTTTGAAGTACAAAAACTTTTTAGTAATATGAATTCTCAGTTGTTGAATCTTTGAAATATTTCCCGTGTTTTGTGTTTTATTCATGAATCTCTGCCTACTCCTATGTCTCCAAGATTTCTACCTACCTTGCCCTCCAGTAGATTTAGTGTTTCTGTTTTAATATTTAGATCTTTGATCCATTTTGACTTTAGTTTAGTGTATGGTGACAGACATGGGTCTATTTTCAGTCTTCAGCATGTGGAAAGCCAACCTTTCCAACACCATTTATTTAAAAGGCTATCTTTTTTCCAGTGAACATGTTTAGCCCCTTTGTCAAGTTGAAGGTGGCTGAGTGTCTTTGTAGTTGTGTTTGCATCTTCTAATCAGTTCCATTGATCCTCAGGTCTGTTTCTTTGCCAGCACCATGATGATTTTATTGGCTTTGTAGTTTCAAGTGAGGAATTGAGATGCCTCCTGTCTTGCCTTTGTTGTGCAGAATTGCCTTTGCTATTTTAGGTTTCTGCTGTTTCCAGATGAATTTTAGGAATATTTTCTCTAGATCTGTAAGGTATGTTAATGGTATTTTGATTGGGATTGCATTGAATCTGTATAACTGTTTTGGGAGTATGGTCATTTTCATAATGTTGGTTCTTCCTGACCAAGAGCAAGGAATATCCTTCCATTTTCTAATATCCTCTTCAATCTCCTTTTTTAGAGTAGTATAATTTTTAGCATAAAGGTCTTTTACATTCTTGGTTAGGTTGATTCCTAAGTATTTTACTTTTTTAGATGCTATTGTGAAAGGCAATATTTCCATAATTTCTCTCTCAGTGAGTTTTTTGTTTGTGTACAGGAATTCTATTGATTTTTGAGTGTTGACTTTGTATCCAGCCATTCTGTTGAATTTGTTTATTACCTCTAGTTGTCTTTTAATGGAGTTTTTGGGATCTTCTATGTAGAGATCCTGTTGTCTGCAAATAATGATAATTTAACTTCTTCTTTTCCTATTTTTATTTCTTTTATTTTCCCTTTTGTCTGATTGCTCTGGCTAATATTTCCGGAACTATATTGAACAGGAGTGGTGATAGTGGACATCCTTGTCTTGGTCCTGATTTTAGAGTGAAGGTTTTCAGTTTTTGTCCATTTAGTATAATGTTGGCTGATGGTTGTCATAAATGGCCTTTATGAGATTGAGGTACATATCGTCTATGTCCAAGTTTCTGTAGGGTTTTTATCATGAACAGGTGTTGGACTTTATCAAAAGCTTTTTCTGCATCTATTGAGATTATCATGTGATTTTTGTTTTTGTCTCTGTTAATGTGGTATTTGAAATTGTTTTTAATAAATACACATCCATACCTATTTCTGTGATTGCTTCTACCAGGTAATCACAGTATCAGGATGTCATCACAACTCATGTACCCTTGGAGGCCCTGGAATCTCCATTCACCCTTCCTTGTGAGTGGATTATGAGTTTGGTTTTGATTATGAGACAGAGAGAGAGAAGCTAGGTGATTCTGAGCCTTGGGACCATGGTCATGGGTTATCCATTAACCCCCCTGCTTCGCAGTGTCAGCAGGGCTGTCGAGTGTGCTCCTCAAAGGATGGCCAGGAAGGGCAGTGCAGGAGACCGCTGCTCATCTCCTCCTGACTTGCCCTGAGTGGAGTGGGAGTCTTGTAACAGTAGGGTAAGCCCTGCATGACATTATAGGAAGCTTCTTTCAAAAGCTAAGCCCCCTGAGTAAGACTCAAATCCTCAGGGCTCAGTTCTGAAGGAAATTCTCTTTCTCCATCCCTCTGTCTGTCTTAACCACTTACCAGTTTATCCTGTGCATCACTTGGGCAACACGTTTGTTTACATACTGACTATCCCGAGCGGCACTTGGGCAGGTCTCATTTAACTATCGATTCTTGTACTGAATAAATTTGATAAAATTGTTTTTCTAATAGTTCCTGTTATATTATCTTTTAAAATTTTTTTATTTTAAAAAGAATAAAATAAAACAAAACAAAACAAAACAGAGAAGAACAAAACAGATCAGAGTAAACCAACACAAATAACACAGGACTTCAAAACAAGACAACAGGAAATCAACAGTGGCTACCATAATGTCTCTTATTTTCTTTGAAATAGTTGTCCATACCTTTACACACAACAAGTAACATAAAACAAAACAGTATAAAAGCAATCAAAACAAAAGAAAGTCTTACAAGTCTTTAAAATCAGACAATAGGAAATCAATAATGGCTACCATAATGTCTGTTCTTTTCTTCAAAATTGCTGTCCATGCCTTCACATATATTGATATCAAATAATTGAAAACAGACTAAAACCAATCAAAATCAAGAATAAAAGCATTATTAGACTTCAAAACAAAATGATAGGAAATCATCAGTGGCTACCAGGATGTCTTGGTTTTTTCAATGTAGCTGTTCCTACCATCACATATACTAAAATCAATTCTTGTAAACTCTTCAGGTGAAGTTCTAGGTATATATAAGCCTATATGTGTATATCTATCCATTCTGTATTAGAGGGAAAAACAAAACAAAAGAAAACAAAGTATAAGAAAAAGGAGCAAGAGTCAAATAAATAGCAAAGAGCCCCAAACAATAACAATGTAGGCTTTCAAAACAAAGTGGTAGAAATAACTACTTTTGTTGTTTTGCACAGTTACCTTTGAAAGACTTATTTGAATTACCAGACATAGTCATACAAAACTGATCTAATCCTCATATGCTAATTGTTTTGTTCCAAGAACTAATAGAATTAGTAGTACAATCATCTTAGTAATCTTAAGTGTATATATACAAATTTGTATCTTTTTTCTTCTCTTTCATCTTTTCTCCTTTTCCCTGAGTTATTTTTTCCTCTTTGAGCAGTTTTTTATCCTTTCACAATATTTACTGAAGATTTTGTATTTTACTCTTTCAGTTTCTTACACTAGGGAGATAATATGGTATTTACACATGAGTTTGATTTACTTCACTTATGAAAATGATCTCAAGTTGTATCCATTTATCTATAAAAGCCACAATGTGGTCCTGCTTTATAGTTGAGTAGTACTCCATTGTATAAAATAGATCATATCTTTTTTATCCATCCCTCAGTTGATGGGCTTTTGGCTTGTTTCCAAGATTTGGCTATAATAAATTGTGCTGCTATAAACATGAGTGTGCATATATCACCATGGTATGTTCTTAGCCTGTTATCTTATAAAGATTAGTGGAAAATATAACTTTTGGTCATCTTGTATTTAAATAATTGGACTGGTAAATGATGAATGTGCAGGAAATCATGTTTTCTATCAAAGATCACTGACCCAGAAGACCGTATCAGTTAGGAACCAAATGCAAGTGCAGCTAAATTTACTTATTCTTTGAGAGATCAGTCAAGTATCTCTTATGTTCAACGTGACAATGAGTTGCATAAACTGATTTCAGCTAGCAAAAAATACATCTCTTGTCCTGGAGTCCATTTGAGGGGAAAAGGCCAAGAGACAATGAAGGGACAGAGAGGAAGAAAAATCATCTAGATGGCATAGGAAAAAGAGACCTAGAGGGAAAGACAGAAACAGGAGGTGCTCTCTCTCTGTCTCTTTGTCTGTCTCTCCTTTTCTCTGTCTCTCACAAAATACATTTAGCAAGAAAGAAATTTTATAGAAAAGAATGCCTGTTGTGAAGACTTTATGGAAATTTCTATAAAATAATTTAAAACTATGTTGCTTTTTGTACCTATCTAATACTTATTATCTATGACTTATCTGATCTCTTCACATAGATGTTTGTCTTGTTGAGCAAAAGAGCTCAATCAATGCATCAGTGCTTTAGGGGAGCTATTCCTGGTACGAGAGCTTCCCATTGCTTTCTTTGCAGGAGAAAAAACGCCCTTTTTTGGAAAAAGAAACAAATTTAATACAGGCTATATCTAATTACAATAATTATTGTACCAAGTAATTTTCCTTAAATGAACTCTGTAATGCATAATTTACAGTATAAGCAGAACAAAATGCCATGACAAAAAGCCACTGAGTTTAAGAGTTATAATAAAAAAGCATAAAATATGTTTACACTTAAACCCCTTTCAAAAAACAAGGGAACCATTCAGCCTTCAGGATAAAGCAACACACAGAATGCTACTCATGCAAGTACAGATACTGTGCTGACTTAAAGTCAGGCACTAGAGATAGTGGATTACAACACTTTTGCTGTATGCTGTATAAAGATATATGGTGCAGGCAACAGTGATAAACACAATGTGCAGATTAACAGCACACACACCGGAACATCAAACAAAGTAAGGTTGCCTGGAGGAAAGGTGCTTCAAGGTCTCCCTGCCATTGCTTGCAGGGGGCGGCAGGGTACTTCCATGAACGGTCCAGCAGGCCTCAGCCACTGATGGCACTGGAGGACCAGAAGATGTGGCACCTTACTCCCAGGCTAAATCCTGGGTCCCTGAAAGAGGCTCCCTGCTCCTTCATGATGGAGCATCACATCGACATGACATTCCCAAAATGGTGATGTTGTTACAACATAGCCAGCCCTCAAGACTTTATAATGCATAGGACAGTACAGGGAAAAACTGCACCAATTTCTGAATGTATCAAATGGTAGGGCATCGTTTTCAAGTCTGTCTTCACTTGGAGAAACACAGTGCAAAGCAAATTCCTATTGAAGGAATCATTACTGTACTCCCAGCTCAGCTTCTAAGTTTGGACCAAACAATTAAAAGTTTCTCTTCCCCTCTTCTGCATTTAAAGCAGCATATCCATAACTAGGGGCAGTTGGGGGAATCAGTTGGTCAGTAAATATCAGTAAGGACCTTGGTTCAAGTGAGTATACATAGTTTCTCTTAGTTTATGGTTGTCAGATCCTTAGGAAGTCATATAGTATGTACGGCAGTCTCTCAAATACAGTCAGCATTTTTAGTAGTCAAGAGTGGTCCTATTTTTATAAATAGTTCAACTTTTGTTTTAAGCTCAATACTTGGCTCATGAAAAATGAAAATCAACCTTCCCACCCTCCTGAATGCCCAATGGCCAATGTTTCTTCATTGGTTTTATTTTCCTTTGAAACATTTTGTGGCTGTCGCTTATGGCATGGGTCCAAAAGAGGTCACACTCATGGTTCACCAAAGGCAGATCCCAGAGGCTAAACTGATCCTCTACGTTGCCCAGAATCTTGTTCTTGTGCAGACAAATGTGGGAAAAATATCTTTTTATCAGGTCTCTAGAACAACACATACTTAGCCTTTCTTTAATTTCAGATGTCTTTGTAAAAACGACAGTCACAGAAAGCCAAACCACAGTGCTGCAGACATTAATAAAGACAAAATGTACCTTCCTAAGACTACTTACAAGGACCAGTTTACCAGATTCCCCACAGTCAGCAACACCATTCTATCCTAGAATAAAGGATAGAAAACACCAAATAAGAGGCTGCACATGCTTTTCTTTTAAACCTACTGCAGTAAAAATTTTAGCCAAAGAAAAATGGTTGCTTGTTGAAAACCATGCTGTGTGGCTCGAAGACAGCCTTGCTGTGCTTTGACACAAGTACTCCACGAGGACCGAAAGCAAGGCCTCTGACTGCAAACAGACACAGCTAGGTCCTTGTAAACATGAGCGGTGAGCGAAGCAGACTTGGCTGCTTTCCCTAGGGTTAGTGGATCTGGGTGGCAGAGTGCGCTTCTCAGGGGAGACTGACGGTGTGCACGCGTTACTCAGAGTTCTGCCATCACACGATTGACATCTGTTTTTCTTGTTGCTTACTTGGTTGCCTCCACTACAACTGTTAGAACCAACTGTGAGGTGAGTTTTGGCTCATTACACTGGCTCCATGGAGGCCCTGTACCTCCCACCCGCTTGATCTCTACAATACGTGGTCTGACACTGATGTTACTAAATAAGGGAGAAAATGCAGATGGTTGGTTCATCTTAAAGGGCAATTCTCTGATAGAGGTTTACTGGCAATCTGTTTCTGCTCCTTTGCATTCTGCTTAAACTTTTAGGCATTATTTAATTATACTTTAATTTGCACTCCCTCTTATCTACTATTTAAAAATAGTGACTGGAATGGTTGATATATTGTGTCAACCTGAGAAGTATAGACCCCTAACTAAGTAACTCAGCAGTTCTACATCCTGGAGTGTAGAGGACAGGCCCCTTCTGCTCTAGGATGTTATTCATTGTCAACTTGAGAAATTTAGAAGTTTAAGTGAATCAGCAGGAGGCCGGGCTTGTCACTTTGCAAGCATCCTGAGCTTGTATAAGAGGAGGGCATGGAGAGGGGTGAGTGCTACACCTGCCCTGGAGGTGGGGGGTGGGGGTGTGGTGGTATGTGGCACCCTACTTACTGTATAAGGGAGGAAAAGAAACTTGCTCTTCCCCCTCTTTTGCTCTTGTGGCTTTTACTGTCTTCTGCCACCTTGAACAACTGCCCTCTGCCACGCCACCCTGCTTTGGAGCCAGCTGATTATGGACTGAAACTTCTACAAACTGTGAACTAAATAAAGCTTTCCTTTCTTAATTTTGAGTGTTGGGTATTTTTATCTCAGCAGTGAGAGAAAAGTAACCAAGACAGCAATTTTCTGTTTTGCAGGGAGGGTCCATCTAATTTGGAAGAAATGTCTTCATTTAAAAAATGTTAATCGCCTGTTAGAATGGTCTAAATCCAAAACACTGACAACACCAAAACACTGGTACTGATACAGAGCAATAAAAACTTCCATTAATTGTTTGGGTAATACGAAATGGGATAGTCCTCTTTGTCAGTTTCCTACAAAACAAAATATATGTTTACAGTGTGATTAGCAATTGCTGAACAGCTGAACTTAAAACTGCTCTAAGGATCAGTTAATGTAACAACAACAATAAGCAATCAAAACATTAAATGTTTTGGATTCACACTTTAGGCATACACAATTTTGAAAATACAGACCTAATAGGCTTTTTAAGTTTCATCTGAGTAAAACTTTTCAGTCTCAGTTCCCTCAATATTTTAGTGCCTGTAGGCATAAACTCCGGAGGGCTAGACCATATCACATTCCTCAAAACAAATACATAATTTTCTTTGTACTGGGGATCGAACTTATGAACTCACGCTTGCCAGGCAGGCGCTTATGCAGCTGAGCTAAATCCCTGGCCCACTAAGTAATTTTTAAAAAGATATCATATTCCTTAGGTAGAAGTTTTTCCTGATTAGAAAAGAAGAGCAGGTACTTAGTGGATTCTTTTGTGCCAGGCCCAAATGCATCACTGAACCTGAGCACAAGTAAAGGCTGAGGCACTGAGACCAGAGGAGGTGAGCAGAGTCTTCCAAGGTCACTGGCCAGCAAGCCAAGACCAGGCTGGGCTGGGGCCCTCCCTCGTAGATAGGCTCAGGTAGAAATGAATAATTTGCTAAAAACTAGATGAGGGAAACTTTAAAAGTATATTTGAACCATTGAAAAACAATCACAGTTTAAATTTTTTTATTAAAAAATTAAAAAACAGAAATAGATAATGTTGAAAGCATAAGTTACTAATAAAAGTGATTAGAGTGACCAATGTTCCAGTTTGCTTGGGACAGTCCTGCTTTACATCTGCTGTTGTGGTGTGAATATTAATAGAATGCCTTTTCATGTTTACAAGGGAACCTCTTTGGATGAAACTTTATATGGACACTGTTTTGATTCTCTGCCGTAACAATTTTATATATATATATATATATATATATATATATACATATTTTTTTCTTCTTCTTCTTCACAGACTGCCAAATTTCATTTACAAAACTGGGGCCATCTTAGCTTGTCTATGAAAAAGAGGATGTAACATGCTTCTTCTCCTACCAACTGGATCCCAGCCACTCTTGGCCATCTGTCCCTTTGGATTTTTGGAGCTCTGAGTTGACTGCCCCAACCCTGGCCCTCCTGCCGCTCCCCTTCTCTTTGGGAGAAAGCCAAGGAACATAGACAAACGCACATACCATGTAGAGAGGCCAGCTGCACTGCTGGATACAGTCCGTGTAGAACACCATGGCAGCCCGCCGGAAAATCCCCAAATCTGCTGACAACACAATTGCATCATGAGAATGCTTAACCAGAGAAAGTACAAGTTTTGGGGAATGGCTTGGCATTGGGGGCTAAGACAATGCTGTCTGCTTTGCATTAATGTGTATATAATGGTTTGCACCTAATACATGAAATTATACATATATATAATATATATTATATTATATATATTTATTATATATATAATAAATAAAATATATAATGTTTTAAAACATGCTGGTGGCACAGAGGAGTGCATATCAGATGGCAGAGAGGCAAGCATGTGGCAATGACCAACAGGCACCCGCAAATAACATGAGTGGCTGGCAACTCATTCTGTCTCTGTGTTTAGGGTTCACTCTTATGTGCCCCCTCAATTCACCTTAAAACCTCTGATACCCTGAGAGGATGGGAAATCTTAACTTCCAAAGGTTCCCACTTGTGTTTCTCAGTGTGAGTATGACTTTATAAGAACTGAACCAAGAGATCCAGGGCTGTACTAAGAATGTCCAGCAAGCCTATCTATGGATACAACAGAACTGTTAAAGGAATGTAAGTGAAAATGGGTAGGAAAGTCCAGCAAAGGTTTTAAAAAATGCAATCCTGCAAAAGGAAGGCATGGAATGCTATGAGTGTGCATGTTATAACTATTATATGAACAGAGTCAAGTTCACGGTCAAAGCACAATCCTTCAATGAGCTATAGAGCAAGCATTTCAGAGTGTGGGTCTCTGCTGTGTGGGAATGCTACTCCTCTTCTGGGATGCTCACACAGTGAATTTAGCCAGGATGGAGGGCAGATGTGTGAGAGCCCAGAAGGAGCCCAGGGGAAGCTGGGTGGAGTGCAGCTTCGCCTCTGAGCCCCTGTGTGTCTCCCTCCTGCAGAATGTGCCCAGCCTGGAAGAGGGTGTTCAGGGGCAGACAGGCAGGTGGCTATGATGAGAAAGCAATCACTGGGAAGGAGGGCCAGACATTACCTGTGTCAGACACATCTGCGTCAGTGGGAGCAGAGAAGAAATTAGAGAAAGAAATGATTTATATGAAGATAGCCAAACAGGTAAACAACTGGTCATTTCACTTTTTCCTTAAAACAATGACTATATTATTGTTTTCTAATTATAAAAATGTTTGCTCATCACAGAATCTTTCTGCCTGTCTCCAGCATCAGTAGTTTATTCCTCAAAGAGTAAATCAAGACTTTTTCTCTTTCTCTGTCTGCGCCTGCCATTTATACCCCATCCTCTCTCAGGAGCGACCTTTCAGGTCCTGTTCTAGGGCTGTGGGACCCAGGGATGCAGACTGATCTGGAAAGTACTTCCTAGTTTAGAACTAAATGCTCTGTCTCATCGCTGCTCACTTTCCTGTGTCTACGTGTGTTCTCCTGCATAGCCTGGGAGTCACAAAGGAAACTGTAAGTGTCCAGAAGCAGATGCAATATACAACACGGGTAGAGAGGCTGGGGTCAGCTGACCACTGTCCATCTTCCTGCCTTTGGATTAACTTAAAGCACAGTCATCGTCATATCGAAGTTTTCCCAACTCTGGTAGGTCTGGGACCACCTGGAAAAGACTCCCTGGGTGCAGATCTTGAAAACAGTTGAACTGTACACTGGGGCTATCTTGCAGGTGCTCTTTTCACTTGCCATGTGTCGCTGTCTGGCACCGTGCAGGTGAGGCTGACAGCACCTGCGTGCACCCTTATCATCTTTGGATTGTGGATAGCGGAGCCCCAGCAGGACACTTCAGGGCCAGAGGAAGGGGAGTGAGCTTGCAGCAGTTACTTTTTTGAGTGCTGTTGCTGTGAGGTGGTAGGAGGCTGGGCGCGCGTGTCTCCGTTGGAGGCCGCTGCTCCTTGCCGTGACTTCTTCTCCATGATGCGTTGTGAATGGCTCGTTTGTGCATAAACTCTCATCAATCTTTGTTTATGAAATCTTTTTCCTGTTCGAACCTTCATAAAGTAGTGCATGGTCATAATGTAAGATCCCAATCCTTTCTCATTTAAAAGCACAGAGCTAGAGGTGAGAAGAGCTGTTTTGTTCTGTGTGTGTCTAACTGCGGCTCATTTTTCCTTTTTTTCCCCCTTCAGTGAAGAGGAATTATCTTGAGTCACATATCAAATATATAACATATTTAATATATATGTAACAAAAATTCCTTTAAAAATATTTTATTTTTGTATTTGAAAAAAAAGGTAAAAAAGATGGGATGCAGGTTGGAGATACTTGTGAGGGACCAAGAATTCTAATTCCTATCTCACATTTAATAGACTTTACTCTGCCTTACAACTTTGAAATATATATAGGCTTTTATCTGCATTTTTCCCAGGCCCTTATACAAAAGAATGTTTAAGTCTGACTTTCTGAACCTTAAAACGATTTTCAAAATTTAAATGTTCTAAAACCACTTGAACTTCCTCCAGGGTATGATGAGCACAGCTGATTTCCGGAGAACACGCATTGCTCTCTGTTTGGTCCATATTGTCTGAGATAGTTCCGCAGGTGTCCTGCGTCTAAGATTGACAAGGTGGTCTCAAAGAGCTGGAGCCCTAGAACCTAGGAATAATACATGACTCGTTCGTTTGTGACAATCATTTAGCATAGTTAAGAGATGCTCCTTTTCAAAAGTCGCAAATGCAAACAGGTTCCTCTAAATGAGACTAGTGCTGTGACAAATGTATCCTTTTAAAATTTGCTGGCAACTAGGGGCTGTGAGGCTGAGTTTATCAGGTGAAAACTGAACCAGTGATGACAGCTTATTACAATGCTTACAGGGAGGGAAGCTCTGGGAGGTGATTAAAGAATGCAGACTGCAGAGCCTGTGTTCATGGTGACCAGCAACACTGTCATTTAAGCTTGGTGGTGCCTGCTTTCTCAGGCATGTGTTTACAGAAGAGGAGACTCACCTATCTTGAAACGACCCATGTAGTAGATCTGGGCACTGAGGGCCAAAGAGGCCAGAATATGAACCACGGAGAAGATGACCCAGAACCACACATCATTTTTTCCAAACACCTAGGAGTAGAAAACACAGGCCACCTTGATCTGAGGTTTTACCAGGGAACTGACCGAAAACACTGTCTTTTGCATGCAAAAGGAGTGAAAAAGTGATGTGTGCATTTGCTTCACCCCGCTTCCAGGCACTCATGGGATCTCACTGACACTCAGCAGAAAAGGGGTCACCTGGCCAATTTAAAGCAGGAAAGAGAAGAAATAGGGGAGGTGGCCAAGCCACAGAGATGAAGCGGCCATAGTCTAAAGTTTGGGCTGGCAGTCCTCAAATAACTGGAGACGACCAGGTGCTGTGGCGCATGCCTGTGAGCCTAGCACTCTGGGAGGCCGAGGCCGGAGGTGTGCAAGTTTGAGCCCAGCTTAGGCAATTTAGGGAGACCCTTCTTAAAATAAAAGTGGAATAGGGCTATAGCTTGGTTCAAAGGCCCTGAGTTCAATCTCCAGTACTGCAAAAGAAAATAAAACAACTCCCCTCAAAGCCCAAAACAACTCAACAAACAAACAAAAATTACTAGAAACAAGCATCACCTTTTGCCCATACACTTAAGTGCTTCCTGTTCTTTCAAGCTGGTCTCTCCAATCAGTTTGGAATCTATACTCCCATCTCACCTGTGTCAGGTCATAGCTTGATATCACAACTCTCCAGCAGTGGCTACCCTATTACATCATCAGCTAAGTAACTAAGGAAGAGTGTTACAAGCCACAGCGGACCCATGATGACAGTGAGTCACAGAGCAAAGTGATGGCTCATCCAAACCTGTGCACCTGAGGTGCAACAACAGAAAGCTTCCCAGGAGGGCACTTTTCAGGGGTCAGACTGAAAGACTGAAAGGGACGCACCACTCCGAGGACGGTGAGCATGATGACCACGGCGAAGGAGGCATAGGCAGAGTAGGCGCTCGCATTGATGTCCGGGTGACGGGTCTGATAGAGTTTCAGCATGCAGAGGCCCGCGATCATGTACATGAAGGAAGTGTCTGAGAATCATGGAAATGCAAAGCAAAACAATAATGTAATGCCCTGAATTACTCAAAACTTTGGCAAGACATTTAAATGTCTGGTAAGAATAAAGTCCACAATGTGAGAGAAATGGAAACCTTAACACAACTGATGTGAGTAGGAATTAACACTGCAGAGAAATTTGTTAGTTTCTAACAACGTGGAAAAATACACACACCAGGTGACTTGAAAATTCTGCTCCTAGATTTCCTGGAGAATCTCTATCACATCTGCACAATTTTATATATATATATAACCTAACTGCTCGAGCAGGCCAAATTACCCCAAGGGGCTTTTCCAGAAGTTCATTGGTTTGACTCAGTCTGGCTTACTGCTTCATGCTGAGCCCCTGGCTTGCTTTTGGATCTCACTACAGGATTACCAGGCAGTGCTGAGTGCTTTCTGGTATGAAAGGCGGTCAAGAGGAAGAGCAGTAGGTGTGGGAACCATGTTCTGTGTAAGAAGCTCTCAGATCATTTAGTTCACACAAATGTCTGTGATTTCTTGTAATATGAGGTTGGCACTTTTGGAAATGTCCTAGGATGAGATTCCTATAACACATCTGCGTAGCTTATAGAAATTCTAATTACCGAATTGGAAATTGGAGTAATTAGGGCAGACATGGTAACAAGCACTGAGCACTCCCTCCATCATCAGCGCGATGCCCATAGCATAGAAGAGACCAAAGTGTTTGGGAATCCCGTACTCCTGAAAAAGAAGAAAAGGCGGTCAACAGAAAAACACTTGTTAGCAACTTGTGCAAAGAATCTAGAAGCCCATGCTTCCAGCCTCGTGTGGCTCATCACACACAATATATCATCACATCATCAAGCCACAGGGTCCCTCCCCTTAAGAGATTCTGTTGGAATCATGGTCCTTCCCAACTCCTGCCTTTGATTTGCCCATTGTCTCCTCACCATAGCAAAGATATCCTTGGCCTCCAGGGCTCTTCGATGGAGAATGTCCCGGCGCAAGACTATCAGCAGGAAGAGGAAGCCCAGAAGAACATGGCCCAGGTTACTGAGAATATTGTTGAAGGCACTGGAGGTGTAAGTGAGAAGACATGAGCACTCAAGAGAATTCAGAGAATGAATGAACACACAGATGGAGGAGTGATTCAGCACTCAGTGTTTACAACCGCCAACTCTGCCCTAAGATTTCAGGGTTGAAAAATCACCAGAAATTCTCTTCAACCTAACTCCTTCATTTTTGGGTGCTTTCTTAGCTTGTGCTAATATGCCTGTTTCTTTGCAGGAAGGCCTCCTGTGCATCCCTAACACCTGCCCAACCTTCTCTTGTCCTGATGGCACTGATAAAGTATGAGAGTCTTGGGAAAGAGAGCTGCTCCACTGTGCGAGTGGATTCTCATAGGTGGACCCATGTTACATATCAATCTTCAGCTAATGGTAAATTGTGAATGTCAGGACAGATGTTGGCCCATCTCAGTGAGCAGCTTTATTTCAGGAAACCAAAGCTGTTTCAGCTTTGGAGTAAGAAATTAGGTGCCCAACTCCCAGGCAAATGCTCTTTCTACTTCACCCAGTTCTGGGGAGTAGGACAGGGAGGCTGCAGAGCTAGGGTCAAGTCCTAACATCAATAAAAGCAAGTCCTTACCTGTGTAATCACCTGCATCTAACAATGGAGGTAAAAGGAATCCATCTCATGAGGTTGTTTAACAGATCAAATGAGACAGCAGGTTGCCAGCTCATGCCCATGAACGCATGCCACCCTAGCGAGGGACCTGAAGTTTTCAAAAACATCACTGGCTATTCTTAGAAGGTGACTCTTCAGAATGTTGTCTGGCCTTCATACAGAAATGTGAGGACCACATCTGGCGTCAACACTGGGGTTTTATTCCTCTCTACCTTGACTAGGATAGTCTTTTACAATTGTCTTTAAAAGCTGAAGTCACAGTAGATGGAAAGGAATCTTTAAACACCTCATGAGCAACCAGAGGACTGCATTTACCTTAGGACGCCCAAGGGATGAGCACAGAGGAAGTTGTAGTAACAGATGTCCTGGTTGCCAGTGACATTTACCACCTGTGAAATCAAGTGACAGAAGAGGAAATGCATTTTTTCTCCATCCTCCAAACCCTGCCTGAATGCACAGAAAGCAGTGAATCCCCGTCAGTGATTTACCATGTGATGTGTGCACCTCCTCAGCAGGGGTACATTATGATCTGTCACTTTACATAGCGCAGGTCTATTTCATGTAAATGTCACCATCTTGGCTTTGAATGGAAATAGTCTTTGTACCTCAATAGGTGGCCTACAGATGGAATTCAGTGGAATATGAGTCCTTTGCCATCATCATACAGGACTGTGAAAGGATACTAATATTGGAACCTGCCTTTAAAGTCTACTTTTCTGTGTCTTGTTCTTTAGATTATTGCTGGGGGAACATGGAGCTGTGGCATCCTGTGAGTGGAAATAACCACTGAGTGGGTGGACATGAAGAGATAATGTATTGCATTATCTGTATTTGCTATCATCTCTATCAAGAACCTGTGCAAACCACAGCACAGCTGTATCTTTTGACTTTGGGAACTCAAATATGCAGAGAATATTTAAATTATCAATAGTAGTGTTCAAAGTTGTTGTCTTTATTAAAGGAACAAGTACAGAATGGGCCAAATATTCTTGGGGGTATTTTCCCTCAAACTTAGCTGCATGCTGGAATCAGTGTGGGATTTGAATAGCACTGATGCCTGGTTCCACTCAGAGACCCTAATCTTCTTGGTATGGGGTGCAGTCAGGACACTGGGAGTTTTAGGATAAGTGCCACAGGTGATTTAATGCACAGCAAAGTTTGAGAGCCACTGCACTAAAAGTATTTTCAGACTTGCATTGTTCTAAATGGACTGTCTGTTGTCTCTTAAATTCTAATGAATTTACAGTGAGAGCGACCCAGGGTTTCCTGGGGAAGAAATGGGGGATTCTCAAGCTGTTGTAATGCTATCATTGATACTAACTTTTTTTTTCATATTTTATATTTTCTTTTTGTTTTAATGTTCTGTGAGATTCATGGAGCTGCTTTTAATTTTATAAAAACACTTATCCTCAATGAGAAAGCACAGGCTTAGACGTTACATTTCTTGGCTTTGTTCTGGTACTTTACTCATTATCCCATGATGATGAGAAATCTCAGACTGGGAAGTGATGGCTGAGTTTGATGCATACTATGACTGAATGAGTACAAGGTAAGAATTTCAGGTTGGTACACAAAATAATATATGAAGTGCCAGGTCCCTTTGTGAGCAAACAATCAGGGAAGAGATTGAAAGGTCAGTTAAGAATGAACACTTGGAACTCAAATGGGAAATTAAATCTTTTTTCAGAGAGGGTCTCGCTATGGAGTTCAGGCTGACCTTGAACTCATTATGTAGCCAAGGCTGGCCTTGAACTCATGGTGATCTTCCTGCCTCAGCCTCCCCAGTATTGAAATTATAGGCATGTGCCACCACGCCCAGAGGGAAATTAATTCTTGAATGCATCTCAAATTGTACTTTTCACCACGCAGGATGGGAACTGGAATTCTGAGCTGAGGGTGGCACTTACTGTCTGGTAGGTGATGACCAGCTGGATCACAGGCAGTGCATAAAACACAGCAATGGTGATGATGTTCCTATGCAAACATGAAGAACCGGAAATATTTATTTCCCAATTAACAGTGCAATTTTTGCTGAGGTTTTTTGGTCTTTTTTAGCAGAATGCTTCCAAGCCATAATTCCATAGTGAATTTGCAAACATGGTCTGAAGCTGTGATGGGGGTCCTGCTTTGCAAGTCTTCTCTTCCCCTTCTCTTGCCTTTGAATATGTGGTAGACAACATGTCTTGATTAAAAGGGAGGGAAGGAAGTAAATAAAACTCTCCTAGGTTACTATCAGTTTGTTTGCAAAGTCCACTGAAAACATTAACTAAAATAATGTACTTGGAGGCTAATCATTGGCATCTCATAATTATTAATTTTTCTTCATCTTTGTACAGCCATTTGTAAAATGTATACTATCTGCTTCTGATTCCACAACATCATTAATGAGAGCCCCATCTCTCTGGGATGTTGTCAGATTAAAAGTGATCAGAAGGCAAGTAAAAGGTGAAGGATCACACCCAGAGAGGATGGAGGTCTCTTAGGACTCTCAGCTCCAAGATGATGATCCTATTAAAATGACATATGGTGGCATTGTCCCTGATTTCCCTCCAATATCTGTGTCCAAGTAGAAGGGCATTCTTCAGGTAAAAAGAATGGAAAAGACTGTCACAAGGGAACAGCAGTCAACTTGGGGCCTGCTGAGGGGAGGAGGTGCCCCTGTCAGCTCAGCCTGTAGCTTGGGTGGGCAGCTGTGTCCATGAATATGACCATCACAGGCTATTTGTCATCAGCTGGCAGTGTCTTCACTGATACTTGTGCCTCAATCACAGTAAAGCCTGGTGACATAGGGGGCTGTAATTTAATTTTATTTAAGGAACTATGGTGCTACTGGTCATCTACTTACCAAAAATAAATCTTATATTTTTTGCTGACAATTCTCCGGTCCTTTCTGGACAGATCTGATAGGTAAAGAAACATCTAGAAAATTAAAAGAGAATACAAAATCTCATTTGGCTTTTCTTGCATAAGACATGAAGGAAAGCTTTACAAATCCTAACTTTATTTCTTCTCAGGGACCCAATTATTCAGTAAGACTTTCTTTTCATTTTCCTTTTTCTAAGATACCTTAATAAAAATTTCAATAATTTCCTTTGCATATTGATGATTGGATGGTGTGGGAAACCTATTAGGAGACTTGAATGCTTCTTGTATCTCATGTATTGATTTGTTAGCGTTCTGAACTATTCACTGTGTGTTTCTTGAATTACTGAAGATTGAAACTGTGCGATTTACCTTCACGTTTTTACTGAGATCACATAGTATAATAAATATAGGCCACAAAGAAATGAGCTTTGCTTCTAAGAGATAATTTGTACAAAAATTTGGAGCTTTTATGAATACATGTCTCCAAGAGTCTTTTCTTTAACCTGGCTAGATTCCTTTCATCCTTTCTTTCCCATAATCATCCCTTTCATATCCTCAGAGTGTTTATGATATGATGCTTTTTCACCTTTAATTACTGTTTTTCTCAATAAAAGGTGTTAGTGAACAGAGTATTGCCTTTCGTCTATAGTTTGTTTTATATAAACACACTGGGAAATTTGACCGGGGAAAGCATAAAGGAAACTGAGTACTGGTGAAGCTTATTTTACTGTCAAACTTTCTGCCCCCTTAATAAATGCGATTCTGCAGAGGGAGCTACCTTGGTCCGGATGACATTTTTGTCACTCTCAATATCTGGCATGGTGTCAAAGTCACTCTCTTCCACAGAGCTGTCTGTGTCTGACTGGCATGGCTGCCCACCATCGGAGGACATCTGCCTTCCAGGGCTGGAGCTTGACTCATCTGAAAGAGAGAACTCATCTGCTTTTAAAAGCCAAGAACAGTCCATGGCGTCCATTCCTCTGCCAAAAGCATAATGCTGACTCAATCTAGAAAACATCGCTTTGATCAAAGCTAAGTCATTATCCCCAAGACATGCTCTTTCTCTTGTATCTTCTGAATGGACTTTCATTTTCCCTCTTCTATTTTTATACTTAACTTGTCTATCTTTGAATACATATTAGATTATAAGAACATCTATTCTGTTAAATATTTTGGTGCAAAAATAGCATTTCAGCCTGGGGATATAGCTCAGCGGCATAGTACCTGCCTGGCAAATCCAAGGTAGTGAGTTTGATCCCCAGTGCCAAAAAAAAAAGAAAGAAAGAAAGAAAGAAAGAAACAACAAAAAAGAAAAATGATATTGCACTTATATTTCATGTTCCATATTTTAAAATATGAACACAAATATATAAACACACACATGCACATAGTTATGTATAGCATCTATCACATATATGTGTAAGTACACACATATTCAGCTATACATTTCTCATGAGTAAAGTATTTATACACAGAAATCTCTCACATGCCATATCTATGATTATATAATGAAAACAACATTCTCAGGAAGAAGGACTCTTCTGTTCCCATGAATGTTTCCCAGAGCAGATGGGATTTGTGCAGCTTGAGCATATGAGCTGAGCCCATCTTCCGCTTTATTTTATCTGCTCAAATGGTTTTTAAAAATTCTGTTCTTAGAGAACTAAAAATAAGCAGCCTACACTGAGCCCACATGCTCAAAGATATAAAATAATAGTCCAGGAATACAGCATTCCCAGTCCCTCTGTAATGAAGTACGGAGGAGCACCATTCACAGGCCCAGAGGACCACGGAAGCGGCCAGGCAGCTCAGCGCACTCCTACCCTAACCAGACTGGTATAGGGACTCTCTTCTTTGCAGGCTGATTAATGAACACTGGGTTTGCCATGTGAATGACTGGATGGCAGTGAACAGGCTCAATGGTACTGTTAGCCAAAAAGAACTTTTGGGCTGCAGCCATGTTCACCTGCAGCACTGCCTTAGTCTTCTGACCGTCCTTACTCCATTGAAACCTGAGGACGAGACAACCGGTCAGTGAATGCAAAGCTCCCTGGGACACACCTTTGATGCCCTATGCTCAGGCTGGGTATGAGAAGGCCCCCAGGGGACCTTGGTAGTGGCCAGAAGTCATTGGAGGGAATTCTGCTCACGTGTGGGTAGCAGATCAAGAAACAGAACTGTAGAGGGTTAAACACGGAAGGAGTTGTCTAGGTCACCCAGCCAACTCATCTTCTAAATGAAAGACAAGTTCAGAAGGTGACTGGCTTGTCCACCCTCACAGCTTTGAGCTGCTGCAAGGCCCTTTGTGTGCGAATCTCTGGAGAATAAAGAAAGGGTTCCACCGTCAGACTCTTTGTAGGAAATACCTATTGCCCCATAATTGCTCCCTTCAGGTGTGCTGGCCGCAATGGGATGGGACACTGCCATATTTCCAGAACCTGTGAAAAGAAATCAGAGTCAAACATTTAATGTCTAGCTGTTAAAACAACAGGACTCTAATCAGTTCAACTCATCAGGCCATAGCATTTGAAATTTGATTTTCTTTCTGCTTTAATACAGTAGCCACCAAATCTAGCCTGCTACTTGTTTTTCTACAGCACTTAAATCAAGATTTTAAAAGTTTGGGGAAAAAATAAAAAGAACATTTCATGGTAGGTAAAAAATTATATATAATTCAAATTTTAGTATTCACATATAAAGGTCTATTGAAACACAACCATGCTTTTTTTGGGTACAAATATGACTGCTTTTGTGCTAGAATGGCACAGTTGAAGTAGTTGTAACTTAGATTCTACAGCCCAAAGAGCCTTGCATAATTACTATTTGATTCTTTACAGAAAAAATGAGCTGATTCCTGCCTGACAGTATTGCAGAATCACAAGAATTAAGTAGTCTGAGTCTGGAATTGCTGTGGAGAAGGTCACCACTGAATAGAAACACCAGAAATAAACTGCTGTTAAGAAGTCCTAGTAATTTGGAGGGTTTTAAAGAAGTACCATTTAGCAGTACCCTGACTACAGGCAGGAAGTCCAAGTAAGGAGGAAGATATTGAATTCACTGGAGCAACAACTGACCACAACATGAACTAAGGGTACGGAGGAAGCTGAGTTATTCTGAGAGATACCTGGGTATATCTGTCATTAACTGGTGTTGACAAAGAGAGAAAAACAGATACCAAGACTATGCCCCTTGCCAGGTGTGGCGGCACTCACCTGTAACCCTAGTGACTTTAGGAGCCTGAGGCAGGAGGATTGGAAGCTCAAACCCAGCTGGGGCAATGTACGAACTTAGTGAGACCCTGTCTCAAACTTAAGTGAAATAATAAAGGGTTGAGGTCATGGCTCAGCATAAAGGTCCTGCCTGGGTTTAATCTCCAAAAATTCAAAAGAGAAAAATATTCTTGAATGTTTCAGTGATGTACATTGCACTTAGTAGCAGGGAGACGGCACTTATTACTGAGTGTCTGGAGGTATCTCTGGAGCCACCCTGCAACTCACAAAAACGTCTCCCAGGCTTCTAAAAAGCAAGACATACAGTGTTATCACATGAAGTTTATCAGTTTCTGAGAATAAGCCAAACTGAACACAAACTGAACAACAGAAACCACAAATATGCAGAAATCCAGGCAGTTTTTTTGACTCTGACTCAGTGTCATACTATTTGCAAGAGCTATGCTCATCTACAGGATTTCATGAGAGTAGAGTCTGAGTTAACTGGCTGCTTTCTTCTCTGTCTCTTGTCTCTCTGTGTGTATCCCACACTACCACTCTGCTGGGGATGGAACTTAGGACCTCCTGTGAGCCAGGCAAGTACTCCACCGTTGAGCTGCATCCCTAGCCTGCTGTTTAGTCTCTTATGCTATTGCAGGCAAGTATATTTTCAGTGAAGAAACTTAACTGAGGTTATTCTAAAGTATCTTAGCTGTAAATATATTTCACTGTCTTTACTAAAAATATAGTTCATTATAATTCACATGAAACTATAGTGTGTAGCATGTGTAAAAAAAATCAAAATCCTCAAAAAATTCCTAGCTGTCCCAAACAGCTTTCTTCATCTAGCATTTAACTTCATTTCCACTGGAGAGTGGTTTTGCTGGCTAACTTTGTAGGCTCTGTCATCATCATTATCTCTTTATATACCCATTCATTTCTTCTAAGAACAAAAATAATTTTACGCTAAGTTAGAAACTTTGGCTAGTAATAGGAGACAAATCCAATCGCCTTAGACACTCATTTTCTTTTCTCCTTTGATGGCTTAGCTGAGTTAAGCTGGACATCAAAGCTGTGGGTTAATGCAGTGTTCTTGGCATGTGGGGATATTCCCAAGGCCTTAGGATGCAGACTTTTGCCTTTACAATGTGTATTCTCTGATATTGTTACCCGACTTCATGTATTTATTATTGAACACAGTTAGGTCTCTGACTGTCCTTGAATTAATCTATAACTATGCAAAACTGTATCAAAATCTATCCATGCTTTCTATCCAAGTTCAAGGCCAAGAAGAATCTGGAATATGAGGGATCAAATCTTTTGAGCACAGTACATGTAATGTGAAGAATGTTGTGCATGGTTCAATTGTGTTTTTGACCTAGGACAACGTTGGCCACAGTTACCACAGAGCTTTGCTGTTGCATGTTTGTATTCATGACTACAAGAACCACTATCTTCACCACCATTGCTACCCCCAATACTTGCATTGTTATTACCGCTGCTGCTGCTTCTTCTTTGATCTTTGAATACTTTGAATGCTTACTGTGTGAGACACTTTAGAATTTTTTCAAGAGTTTGATTTTTTTTTAACTTTTCAACAACCTATGAGGTGGGTACTATTATTGTCACTATTTTAAAGATCATTAAATGAAGGTGCTGAGAGACCACATAATTAACCATTCACTAACATAGTGGACGATGAGTCAATGTACTGTCCTCTATTGAAAGTTTTCTTTGGAAAATATTTTTATTGTATATGTTTAAATTGTATATATATATATATATATATATATAATCTCTCAGGTAAGCAAATTAACATATTCATCAACTTCCATAGTTAGCTTTTTTGAAAATTGTAAGTGCACCTAAAATCTATATTCCTAGAAAAAAGTTAATATAGAATACAGTATCATTAGCGGTAGTCCTCACTGTATGAGAAATCTAGATTCACTCACACTGTGCAGTTGGGAGTTTGTACCCTTTGACCCACATCTTATCCTCATCTCTCTGCCCAGGACCACTATTCTACTCATTATTTATGTATTCAACATTAAAAAAGATTCCACAGACAAGGGAGATTACAAAGCACTTTTCTTTGAGTCTGTTTCATATTTAGCAGAATGTTCCCCAGAATCATCTCTGGAGGATCTTGTCATAAATGACAGCGTCTTCTTTTAAAAGGTGACTAGTATTCCCAATGTGCGTATGTGTCATGTATTTTTTAATGAAAAACACACAGAAACTTTCCTTTGAAAGTTGAATATGGGCAGCGAATATTGTTCTTTTGTGTAGCGCCTGGAAATCTTTCCAGGAGGTAGTAAAGGAGGCTGAAGCTAATTCACATTTCCACTTTGATAAAGTTATATTTGTAAAAAACTAAGCACAATTTTTGCTGTTGAGGTTGGATGCTTTTGTTTGCCAGTGGTCCCCTGCTGGGTTAGGGCTGTCTGCACCTGATTTTTCTTTAGTTCATTGCAGGGTGTTCTACCATAACCCCTCTCTTGGTTTAACTCCTAGGAAATGTTGCATTCCTTCACATTTCCCTCAATATCTTTTACATTTTTCTTTTTTTCAAGTTTAAGCTTGTTCAAAATGTGGTTACATGTTTTTAAAATGTGAAAGTCTTGTTGTTCATGTCCTTCATAGAACCCATGAGGTTGCAGTGGTTTCAAAATGAACAGATGAGGTGAACAAAATGAGACCACACCAAACCAGAGAATGCTCCGCTCTGAGCCTGAGCAGAGTACGGAAATCAGCTCTCCATCAAGATCTCAGCAGATCTGCTCCATAGAGCTGATCTTCATCTTTTTGTTCATCTAACAAAACAGTGGTTATTTTTTCTCTTGCTTTTTAATTTTTGTTTTTTTCCTTTTGATTACATATACACACACCCCATCAGCTCTCATGAACCATTTCAACTTCGTACTACAACCAAACTCAGGAATTTTCCTGTATCTATCCCACGTCTCAGGAACACCAAAAGGCTAAAAATTCTGAAGTTTTTTGATAATGTTTTGAGAGATTAATGGCAATGTGTCTTTTATTGAAATAGTGTTTTAAAAATTCATCTATTTTAATGATCATGTATATTTATACTTTTAAATAGACTATACAGAAAGCAGAATTAAACACAAAATATAACTTTATAGGACAGATGAAGATGTTCTGGCTAGAAATCATAGACATAGATTACGCATGATCTCATGCAAATGAGGAAACTTGTTTTGGGGTGTTTATCTCTGCACATGAGGCCCTTACCGTCTGTCTACTTCACTGAGACAACAGGATATGTGGCATTTATGATATGTGTCCTAAATTAAGAGAGAGAAATTCAGAGTTATAGCTGTCCTGCCCCTTCTGTCTGTGAAGGATTGGGGGTCGGAAATTGAAGAGGCAGAAATGACATAAACCAGCTGCCATGAAAGTTTATTTCTGTGCCAGTTGACTACCTACTCCAATGAGCCTGATGTTTTGTGTCAACAGTTGAGGTGGAAATGAAGGAAACCATTGATCTTTGCATGTGGATGTAAAAGTAAAATTCCTCTTGAAGAAAAAACTAGGTGAGAAAGTCAAAGAAATTTCAAAAGAGAATGGAGAGCCAGGACTAGGGCCCCTTGCATGCTCTGTTCTTTGTGAAGAGGCTGATGCAGGAATGTCTCTATACAGCGAAAGATTTGCTTGGTGTGATGGTGTCAGTGTACACCTCAACGGCTCCTGTGCTGGAAGGCTGGTCCAAGCATGGTGATGTGGAAACAGCGGGGCTGGTAGAAGGCCATTAGACCACGTGGCACTGTCCTTGCAAAGGGCTGATGTAGTTCTCGTAGGACTACCATTGATTCCCCAGAAAGAATCTTTTTGGCTTCCTGTCTTTCCATGTGACTTTGTAAGTGGCTGTTTTCCCTGCCCACTTCTTTGTTATGCTGTGAAGCAGCCATAGGGGCCCTCAGCAGAGGCTGAGCTGATGAGGTTGCCCAATCTTAGACTTTTAGTCTCTCAAACTAGGAGCTAAATAAACCTCTTTTCTTTATAAACTACTCAGCCTCAGGTATTTTATTATAGCAACAGGAAATGAACTAATGGTCATTTTATTTTTAAATCTACAATCTTGTTAGACTTTATCACCTCTCTTGCTTAAGAAAGTAATCCAGGCTCATGGCAGCAGCTCTTCTATTCCAGAGACCTGTGAAGCAGGCTTCATTAGTCCTTCTCAGTTTGGAACTGACTTTATATAGAGATTTATTTATTTGTTTATTTACTATTTTTTTGGTACGGGGGATTGAACTCATGACCTTGTGCTTGCCAGGCAGGTGCTTATGTGGCTGAGCTAAATCCTCAGCCTCTATGGAAATTCTTTAACAAGGATTTGAAATGTGAGGCTTGTCTGCTGATAGATTCAGTGCAGGAAATGTTTCCAGAGCACAGAGCTCTCCCTCATCTCCCTTCGATTAACACACATTGTGAAGTGGTGACTGAAGAGTTCACTGTCCAGCCGTTCATACCACAGAGACATGGTCCCTTCCATCCAGGCGTGGGGACTAAGATCTGTAATTCCAGCACTCTTGGATGCAAAGCAGGAGGACTGGAGGTTAGAGTCCAGCCTGGGCAATTTAGTGACTTAGGGAGACCCTCTCTCAAAATTTAAAAATACAAAAGGGTTGTAGGTGTAGCTCAATAAGAAGACTTTGAGTTCAATTCCCAGAACTGGGGGGGGGGGAGATAAAGAAAGAGCTCCAGGCTCCTAGCTCCTTATTTATCTTATGAGGAAGAGAGCAATCCTTTTGCTTCTTAGCACAGTTGGAGCCAACTTTGACACTGAGAAGCCAACTTAACCAAATAACTCTGGGTGTGTCAAAGAAAAACAGATGCAGAGTAATCAGCAGATCTTCCGGACCCAGATTTTCTATCATGACCTAAGACACCACTGACTTGACAACTTTCAGGGACCTGCCTTCATTTCTCCCACCTCTGTCAATGCTAGGGCAGTGGCATTAACCAAGTTCCTAAAATGTCCAGCTCCACAAGGATGTGGGCAGACCCCATGCCAAGTCTCCTGGGGCCCTGCCCACTTCAGAAGCAGTTGCTAGCATTTCCTATGGCTCTGCTGCACCCAGGGTATTTCCTGTAGCTCTGGGCTTCCTTGAGTTTCCTTTGTTCTATCATTACATTGATCTTGACTTTGAAAGACACTTTGTATATTTGCTTTTCTACAAAAGTTCCTGTCTTGAATGTCTCACATTAGCTTTCAGATTTGGTCTTCACTTGCTTTCGTCTTGCTCCTGGCTAGTTTCTCATTGTTTTGTTCCTTATGCCTGAAAGTCACAACGGTGTCTTTCCTGGAACAGAGCTTGTTTTCTCTTGCTGGTGTTTTAAGCAAGGCCATCTTGGCTTACTGGTGGTAATGGAACATCAGAGGGAGTACCAGATTTGCCTGTAGCTTCTCTGCATTACAAATGTACTTTATTTCAAAGCCTTTTTCAGTAAGCATTCATGTTCCCCACTTCCTAAGTGAGCTCGCATTTGTTCAGATATCCTCACTTGCATCTGGCAGCTGATGTGTTAAAGCCAGTGATTCTTAAGCACAGAGAAGGAAGGGACAGAAGACATGTATCTGGAGACACTTCGTAGTTGTCACAGGGAGGAGTACTAGTGAGGAAATGTGAAAGATGCTGTCCACAAGATGTAGATGACAGGCCCCAACAACAGAATTACATGGCTCATAGGACCAATAATGTTTACTTTGAGAAAGCTTGGTGAGAGAGAGAGAAAGAGAGAGAGAGAGAGATCACTAATTCTAGAAGTAAATAAACTTATTACTTTGTATTAACTAGTTTAGCAATACATATATTGGTTTAGCAATACATATATTAGTTTAGCAATACATATATTCTGGGCCAATGAAACATGAGAAGTTGCTGGAGAGTTCTGGAAAGTTCTTTGATGTTATTACATAAGGGTATGAGGCTTGAGCCACCTGCTCTTGAAGTAAAAGAGTTGAAGGAATGGCAGGGACATGGGTCAGAGCCACTAGGCTCAATAAATCCCCAAACCCATTCTATGGCTCTACATCAAGGCATAGGATACTTTTGACTTATTTTTAAATATGTATGTATGTACATATGTATGTTGAAACAAGTTCTTGCTATGTAGTTCAGATTGTGTAGATCACAATAATCCTTCTGCCTCAGCCTTCCAAGTGCTGGGATTACAGGCATGCACCACCATGTCTGGCTCCAAGCTTTATTTTTAAGTGTGTGTGAGGTATATTTTGTTGTAGTTCTGTTTGTTGTTACTGGCAGTTACATAAATCTTAATAATGCATCTTTACTCTTTCTGATCATTTATTTATTTCCACTTGTCTTCTGAAGGCTTTAATTTTCAGAGCCTTCCTGATTTTGGAGAACAATCTCAAGTCTCAGATCTGTCCACTTGTGCTTTAATATTCAGGAAGCCTTCCTGAACATGGGATTCCTTTAGTTAGCATTTCAATAATAAAATGACAGCACTTGTACAATAAAAAATAGTGGCCATCTGTTCACAGGGATCCACACAATTTGATTTAGGCCCAAGTTCGACTAGGCCTATAATAATAGCAAAACCTATAGAGTACTGTAGGAAAACAGATAAGATCCAGAGAAAAGATAAATCCATCAAAACATAAGTGAATGAATAAGTGACACTTTAAACCACGAGAGTAGGGCTTTTTCATAGTCCTAGTTGGCAATTGAATGCTTATTAAAACAAAGTGCCTGGTGGCTGGAAAAATAAACATGCTGACTTCAAGGAAGACAAATGTAAAAAAGCAAGACTTTCAATAAAGAGAAAAATGTCCAGCTGGGTAAGGATCATGGTGAGTCTGTGTCTAAGGCTCCGTGGACTCAGTTAAGTGTTGAAAATGTAGAACTAAACATCTGCTACGTGTGACATCAAATTCAGGTCTGACTTCATCATCCCCTTTCTGAATTCTTATTCTATGACAAACAGCTGATAAATGTTTAGCAAACTGTGCCAATTTGGGCTTTTCAAAATGAACACATCTAAATTTTTAAATGTTGATAAAATGATCAGGCAATTCACTTTCTTTATTGAAATTCTCAGTGCAGAGGAAAGGGCAAATTACAAGATTCTACCTTCCTCATAGTTATTATACGCTTCATTATGCTTGCTAACCTCCAATACGCCAGTTGCTAGACACTTGAGCAAACTAATGGAAAACAAAAGTCTCTGTCTCAATATAGGAAAAGTACATTCTGTATAAGAGTTGGTATAATAGATTCTTACTATTGCTCCCAAATAAGCTTTGGGATAAGGCTGGTATGATCAGTTAAGTTCTAGAAGAGATGAAACTTTAAAAAGATGAATGGTTGCCAAGTGACCTGTGAATAATCACAAGGGACATTTCAAGTAAAGGTATTAGCATGAGCTCTTTAATCAGTAATTGCCAGCTATAAAATTGATTCTACATAGGCATGGGTACACATACCTATTAACTCAGCACTCTGGAAGGCTGAGGCAGGAGGATAACAAGTCTAAACCCAAACTGCACAATATAATGACTTAGTGAGACCCTGTCTCAAAAATTCAAATAAGGAAAAAAAGATTTGATGTAGCTTAATAAAGAGCTCTGAGTTTAATACCTCAGTCCCAAGGTGGGATTTTCATTAGCTTTGTCTTCCCCAGAAAGACTGATGATTAGACTACTCTGTGGCATAGACATCGATAGAGTTTATAACTTTCAAAAGGCAGAGAGACAAAAGAATCACTCAAAGGGTGTTGCTACACTGTTCAACCTCATTCTGAATTAAAATTGGGTATTTTCCTTACCATCATTGGATCCAAAGCTTCCATCGATGGATTTCCTATGAAATCTGCAAATAAGAAAAGATACATGCTTCTGAGACAGTGAGAGGCTCAGCAATTTACATTTGTTTCTTGTATACTTTGCCACAGATTTGCCTGTGAGGATCTTTAAAAATGGGCCACTGGATGTGAAGAAAACGGAGCCATGCTGTACTGCTGCTAGAGATGTGGAACGATGCAGTTACGCTGGAGAACACTTGGACATCTCCTCAAAGAGTTAAACATGGAGTTATCATATGACCCAGCAATTGCACTTGCAGGGATTTACAGCATTCATTCATCAGTTTACAGATACAGTTTGCACACTATAAATTTACTCTTCAAGGAGTTTTTGTACACTCCCAAATTTATGTAACTATTACTATTAGCTTATCTTAGAGAATTTTCATTACTGCGAAATTAAACCCTGCACCCATAGGTGATTACTCCTCATTGCCTTTTTGCTCCAGATCCAGGCAACCACTGATGTACTTTAAAAATTTTTTTTTTTAATTTTGAGACAGTATTTTGCTGCATAATCCAGACTGGTCTTACACTCACTATGTAGACCTAGCTGGTCCTCAAATTCCTGGTGATTACACTAAGCCTGCAAGGATTATCCAAGATGATTTTATCACATCCTAAAGTTCTCTTTGCTATGTAATAGCACATTGACAGAACTAACATCTGGACAGATTTGGGGGCCATTATTCTGTCTGCCACAACATTTTAACATAAAATCTCTAATCCACAAACATGAGAACTCTTTAAAAACTTGCTTTACTTATTTGGGCTTTAAGTTTCTTTCAGTGATGTTTTGTAGTTTTGAACATACAAATAATACACTTACTTTGTGAAATTTATTCTTCAATGTTAAGTTTTTGTGAATTGAGTTCTCTAATAATTTCATTTTTGTATTGTCTATTGCTTGTATATGAAAATATAACTGATTTTTGTATGTTGATCTCATATCCTGCAATCCCATTTAACTCAGAGTTACTTTTTGGAGTAATGAAGATACTCTGAAATTAGATATTCAGTGGTGACGATTGTCTTACTGTGATTATACTAGAAATTCCAGAATAGTATATTTTAAAGGGGTGAATTTTATGATTTATGATTTTTCTCAGTAAAACTGTTTTTAACAAGCCAGATAGACATTTGGGAATGTCTAAAATTGACCCTTCATTCTGAATGTAAGTTTAGAGGGGCTGGAAGTGGTCATGCTTTGGGTACATTTTTCTTAATTTACTTCTTATTTATTTCCTGGTGGGGACCTTGTTCCTGTGTGACTATGGAAGAACTTCCCTTTAACACTCTTTTGTTCCTAGATATGCCAACCTCATCCCTACCTTGGGACCTTTGCTTTTCCTCTGACAGAGTTGCTCTCTCCCTAGATCCCTGGATGGCTGGCTCTTTCTTGTAATTCAGGTCTTGTTCTGAGAGGTTCTTTTTCCTGATTAAATCAAATCCAAAATGGTTTTCAGCCTGGTCACTCTCTTACCGTACCACTGAGGTTATTCTCCCCTACTCACTAGCAAGACTTAAAAAATCTCTCCTCTTCGACAAAACTATAGTAGGGCAAGGACCTAGACTGCTGTTTACCACTGCTGTCTCTAACCTCTAGGACACCAGTGGGGTCTGTGGCACGGATGCTGCAGTGGACACACAGAGCCCTCCTGTCGGCCCGTGAGCCAAGCTGCCCCAGCAGACAAGCGTCGGGTAACAGTTGCTTTTCCTAAGTTAAAACCTCAGTATTCAGGCACTTCATGATAAGTAAGTGGGTTCAGGTTTGCAGTTTGGGCACTCAGTCTGAAAATTTCGCCATCAATGCTCTAGGACAAAGCCTGATACGTAGAAAATGATAACTAAAAGCGTATCACTAAGGAGAGCAGAGATGACTTGACCTGACTGTCCTAGCTAGTAAATGAAGCTGTGGAGAAAAGTTTCTTAACAATTTTAGTGATACTGACCACCCAGCAATCCTATGGACTTATAGGAGATGATGTGTTAGTATGAGGTATTTACATTTAAAGGATTCTATAATCATTTGTTTTAGTGTTTGAACGGACAACTTTCTCGATTAGAAGAATTAAGTGATTTTGCAAAACTAGGGTGAGGTAGACAGTACCCAGAGAACAAATGAAAGCACAGAAAATGACAACCGTGCTGGGTAACTGCAAGGTGGTTGTGCCTTGTTAATCATAAAATTCAGTGTATATCTTTATCTCCAGAGTCTAGACTGGCTTCATGACTTATTGGCAGTCCAGTAGAGTAAGGGGGACACACTCCTGAACCCACATCCTAAGCAGGCCCTGTACTGTTCTGCCACCTGTTGTTGAGATACAGTAATCCCAGGCCATCCTGTTGGACAGTGAGCCCAAGTGCAGCTCGACCAGTCCAGAAGAGCCAGTTCCTAGCTGATTGCCAGCGGATCACATTCTGTGACCACATCCAACTGAGAGCTCTCAGCTGATTGTAGAAATATCCAGCTCACCCACAGATTTGTGAGCAAGCTTCAGTATTTATTGCTGTATACTACTGGAGCTTTTATGGCTCAGAAGCTCACTATGACAGTGGGTAATAAATATAAGAATCAAAGGAAAGGAGAAGCACTCAGGATTGGACAGTTTGGATTTAGTGTCTGGCAAGATGTTTGAAAGGTTCATGTGCTGTGCTTGGCCCGGGGGCCTGCAAATTCATTGTATGGGCTCAATAAATACATCTTGAAAGGATTGGGGGATGGAAAGGGATGGCATTTATGTTCAGATGGGTAAGTCATAATGAGACTTTAGATTTTTAGCTTCCCTGGGGTAAAGGCCATTTTTATCAATATTTTTCATCCTGATTGAATAATGTATAAATCATACATGAATTATTAATAAGATACAGTAAGTGGTATTAGACTGAGAGAACTGGTTTCATATGGTTGTATAGGAAACTTTGTTTCACTTAGTTTAATGAAAGCAGAGTTCCCCAATTAGCACTTTTCTTCACTCTAATCTTCTATTTAGAATGCAAAATGGTTCTTATGTCTCCAGATTCCTATTTTCAGTTTATCTATATTTGGAAGAAATCTATGCTTGTTCATTTGACTGTAGCAAAATAATTTGCAACTAGAAGTTTCAACAGAGCTCTAAACTACAACTTTTGAAAACGGTGCTCACTTCAGTTGGCTGAATAACAACTTCAGAGAGATTGATAATCAGCTACTAAGTTTTGTCTGTGTGTTGACTATGCATGATAGCTGGCTGATTAGAAGTAATCTTATTTTGTAAAATCTAAAACACCAACGGTGCAGTATTCCTAAGAAAGGCAGAAAAGAGAACAACTTCTTTTCCATGACACTGGAACTCATCAAGGCAAAACTGGAAACTTTTAGGGGCCTTTTAAAATTGTATCTTTGCTGGAGTGCCAGAGTTTTGGTTAGGATCCTTTCAGGTATGTTTTTCTTCATGGGCATGGAACCCTCCAGATCCATCCTGATCAGCCTGTCTAAGACCTACCGATCAGGAAGAGCCAGGCTTGGCCAAATTGTTTTACCTCTCTGTGATTTCATGTTCCTAACCGTGACATGATGATAATAATCGTATCTCATTGTTAGGACTATCAGATGAGACAATCTATTTAGAGGGCCTGGTGCACTGCTTTGCACAGAGCGGGTACTTCTTAAACGTTAGTGACTATGATCTGATAAAAGTAACTGAGCTAATAATCAGTTAACGTATAAACCTTCCTGTACTCCAAAGTTTTGTTTTTACTTTTTTTGAGACAGGATTTGACTGTGTAGTTCAAGCTGCACAAACTCACAATCCTCTTGTCTTTTTTTCCTGAGTGCTGGGTTTACAGGTGTAACCATACCTGGATGTTTTTAATTTTTTATTTGAAAATAATGTCGAATTTACCAAAAAGTTTTGAGACTAAGAGGATAAAGCACCCATACATCCTTTACCTAGACTCATTTATTATTACCCTCTTATTCCATCTGCTTTTATCATTCTTCTTCCATATGCATATTGTTGGGAGCCACTGAAACTGGAAATTGACCACATGTGCAAGGCTGGAGAATGGCCTTCCCAAGAACAGAGTGCCTGGGGCAAGCCACGTGAAGGAGTCGCTTCAGCCCACAGAATACCTAGCCCTGAGACAATCTGGACAGTGGGTTGCTATAACAACAGGGTGTTATGTGACATTAAGTTGCTAAAAGATATAAATAAATGTTTCTGCAGTGGAGGGCCAGTTCCTTGCTTCCCATCAGGAGGGTAAGGGCTCCCTGGGGTAAAGGCCATTTTTATCAATATTTTTCATCCTGATTGAATAATGTATAAATCATACATGCTTTGTCTCTTTATTTTCTCATCCTCTCGTGGTCCTTCACCCCAAGAACCTCAAGAGCCACATAGGTTGGGGCACATATAGTCTCTGTAGCTATAAATTTTTGCTGTATCATTTGAAAGTAAGTTGCATATGTTATAGACTTTTATACTTAAATATTTCCAGAGTAGAGATATTCCTCTACATAACTACAGGTATCAAATTCAGCAGTTTAACAATGGAAGGATCCCCTTATCTAATATATTCTCTATATTTCAATTCATTAATCGACCCAATAATGTCTTTTACAGCATATTTTTCTTCTAGTCTGAGACCCAATCTGAGATCAGGTATTGTCTTTGATTGTCATATCTCCTTAGCCCCTTTTAACCTGGGATATTTTCATATACTTTCTGTCGTTTATGACCCAGTTTGTACTTCAAAACATGATTAAAAATATACATTTCTAGAATGCTGCATAAGTAATGCTGTGCCTTTCCTAAGGTGTTCACCTTCCATTTGGTGATACTAATTTTGATCACCAAGTCAATGTGTCTCATTTCCTTACTGTACAAGTACTGTGACAGTTAAAGTAGATTGTCAACTTGATTGACTTGTGGGCCACCCAGGCAGTTAGTAAAGCACACTTACTCATTTGTCTGAATGGGCACAGAGGTGTGACCTAGGAGCCTACATCTGTACCCTCGTTCCTTCCTGTCTGGTACTACTGCCCTGCTCTGCTTCCTGGCTGCCACACACAAAGCATTTCCTCTGCCGTGCTCTTCCACCATGATGCTCGTGTCATGGTGCCAGTCAACCATGGTCTGAATCCTCTGAAACCATGAGCCAAATAAAACTTCTCTTTTTAAAATTGTGGATATCAGACCTCCCTACTCAGCAGTGGAAGAGCCTACTAATAGAATATTATTGTTTTCTCCCACAATCACTAAGCAATTTGGGAGGATGTACGAGGTCACATGGACATCTTGATGGTCATCTGATTCTCCCTCCTCGTAATTTAGCATGCATTGATGATTCTTAACCTGATCTAGTCTTTACGATGCTATTTGCAAAAATGATTTTCCAACTGCAGCACTCCCCATGTATTTATCAGTCAGCCCTGGGTCTCTGCTGGGGTAAAAGTCCTTCCTTTTGTTGTTAGTCTTTACTAGTGGTAGCTTTCCCTAATGGGTACTTGTTTCATTATTCTGAATGATTTTGGTGCTAAAATTCTCTCAGATTTGGCTAGTGGTGGCTGTGGGATGTTTGAAGGAAGTTATTTCAATTCAAAAGCTTCACAAAGGTCACAGAAGGAAGTTATTTTTTTGAACCAGAAATAGATCTGTATCACTGAAAGCACAGTATTGTTGAAGTGGTAGAGAGATCGTTCTACAGATTCTGGCTTTATTTTCTTAACATATTCAACAGGAGAAAGAGTATTTGATTATGGCAAGTCTCCTGCCATTCAATTATAGCTTGCAAAAAACGAGGAATTCTCAAGGGTCAGTCCTACAGAAAGACAAAGAGTGACTGACTGTTTTGTTACGGGCTCCAACTTCATGGGAAGAGAAATTTCCTTGATCAAATTATAGCACAAATTTCTCCATTTTTCCCTCCACACGGCATTTTACAGGAAAATTGATGCTATAAAAGTAAAAAAGCACCTGGTAATGTGGCATCAAACATATTATTCTGCTATTTATTGTACCTTCAGATTTACTTCAGGCATTAAATTTGCTTTTTTTTTTTTTGACAAATGAATGCTCAAAGCTGTTTCTAAATCACCATATGTAGAAAAACTGATTATTTCCTATAGTCTGTAGCATTTACAGTATTTTCTGGCCTGAGAAGTATACAAGTTGCCTTTTTGTTGAGTTTTCATTAACTATGAAAATAATAAACACCGTGTCAGCACTTATTATGGGCATAACACATACAAATAGTGTAAATTATATTGCTCTATGAGGTAGATTATTATCTCATTTTACAGGTAAGAAGTCTGAAACAAAGAAGGTTGAGTAGTTTGCCCAAGATCACAGTGAGAGGCAGAGTCAAAATAGCTCTCCATCCTAAGCGCTTACCACTACAGAGCAAGGCAAAACGGTTTCCCAGGTCCTGAGTTTTTTGACCTACCTCACATAGTGAACAAACACAACAAGCAGGCATCCCATGTAGAAGGACAAGAAGATGAAGACACTGAAGAGACTGGATTTCACGTACACAGATCCTGAAGAGAGAGAAACAACTGGTCAAGCTGTCCTCCAGGGAAAGGATTTTGCTTGGCATAGGACAGGTGAAACAGCCCATCTCCATCACACCCATTCTTAAGTCCTAAGAAACTTTCATCAGAGCAGCCAAGCTATGAGAGGTCACCCAGACACTATCTATAAGCAGCTGCCTTTTGTAGCAATGCTTTCTCAGGGGACGCCAGGAAAGGACTGCTGAGTACAAATTCGGAACTGAATTTCCTTCTTCTTTGGGAAGTATTTAACAAAATGTTCTCATTCTTCGATCTCTTAGGTAAATAAATTTTTATTTTCTAATAATGATTTCCCTCTAGGAGGATACCATCAGTAATGCCTTATATAAGAATTTTCCTGAAATAGGAATCTCCACAGGGAACACTGACCTTTAATGGAAGGAACGATGGTTACTTTAAGGTCCTTTGCTCGTTGTAGATTCCAGGTCTGGTTCTCATTTGCTGGTAAAAATCAAAATAACAATAACAAAAATCAAGGTGCAAGGCACACTGGATCAGATACTAGATTCTTACCCTCTCTTGATAATAGTTGTTCAAAAATGTCCACAGTTATTCTGGTTGCTGAATTTTATTTTAACAAGAACTGGATGAAAAAAATCTCCTGTTCTAAGCCTCCCATCTCTGTAATCTCCTGTTGGGTTAAGATTCTCATCCTGACCTTTCCTTGGGTATATTTTGGTAGTTCTGATGCAAATGAAATGAGACTGCAGCCTCCCTTATCCACTGAGGAGAGGGCTTCCTCTGATTCCTACAGACATCTGAAGAAACAGATACAACAATAAAAAGCCATATCTTCCTTTAGTTCGGATTTTATCTAGCCAGTGGAAATTTGCTTTTTTCTTCTAGTCATCAAAGGGCTTGTAGAACACTGTGCATTGGTGAAACTCCAGAGCTACACATTTAAGAGATTAAAGAGCACAGGAGCAGAAATTTTGCCTACACAGCAAGGGGCTATGTTACACTCAGCAGTAAACACTATCTCTGTAGTTGACTCACGCATCTTCAACAAGGGGTTCAGGTTTCAACTGACAGGCCCTTCTACCCCCAAGGCAGTATTGATAGTCATCCATGACCATCTGCGCTGTCCATGAGAACTTACATAATCCTTTATCATTAGAATAAATCATTACAGCTGGCTTTCTTACCATCTTGTGAGGCACCATTTTGTCAATTCGAATGGTGAGCTCTAAATTTTCCTTTTGCATACTTGCAGAAATGATGATTCCTAATTAAGTGGCTTTACCTTAGGAAACTGAACTTAGAAGATGAACTTTGACCCTCTGTGCAAGATCTTTAGTTCTCAAGAGCAAGCATTTGAGTGAAGAGCAAATCATGTGAATTTGCTTTACATGGTATGAGAGACTATAAGACTTCAAAAAAGTTGAACTTGCTGCCATCGTTTTGTAGCATGAATAATATCTTTAGATCCATTATTTTCTATCTTTCATTTTTTTTCAGACTGCCTGGCCACGTTACTGCTGATGGCCCATTAGTGGGAACTAAAGATGAGCATCTGGCTTCCCTTCCATGTAGCCTTCATTGTCTCTTACCCTGGACAAAGAATGATCCTCCACAGGCATAATCTTCAGGTTTTATCACAAACACCACAAAAAACTGCTCGCCGGGAAAATCCTTCTTCTGTGTGAGACATAACAACCTTGTGATGGGCAGGTAAGAAAGACAGCAGAAGACAAAGTCCATGGGGTCGGGGATAAAAAGAAAGAAAAGGAAAGGAAAGGAAAAGAAAGGAGAGGAGAGGAGAGGAGAGAAGAGGAGAGGAGAGGAGAGGAGAGGAGAGGAGAGGAGAGGAGAGGAGAGGAGAGGAGAGGAGAGGAAAAAGAACAGCTTACCCTGGCCCTCTAACACCTTGGGAAGGATCGTCACATACTCATGATCTATTTCAGATTGTCCATAATGATAGTTACATCCAAAAAATTAAAAAAGACAGATACACTGTTATGATTTGAATCTGTTTTGTTCTCACATGAGTGCTTAGAATGGTAACTGGGGCCATATAAATAACGATGTCAACATCTTATGTTTAATACTTAATACTTATGTATGCTTTTGTTTTTATTTTTAAAATATAATGATAAATAACTTTCCTAAAAGTAATTTATTCAGCTGTTTGTAAGTAATGCAGTTAGGCAGGCCAAGGACATGAGTCAGGAAAGCTGAGTTATGGTCCTGGCTTTGATTTTCTGCAAATATGTTTTCTTGTATCCCAGTTGCATTGTCTACGATTGAAGCATGGTTGACAGGATAGCCATTAAAGTACATTACATAGTTCTACAAGTCTGACTTTAATAAATTATCCATAAATTCCTGATATGTTTAGCCCACTGAAAAAAATGGCTCAAGATTGAAACATAGGCTCAAAAGAGAAGTAAGAATTTATTTCCAAGTACATCCAAAGTAGACCTACAGTGATATGCTTTGCCCTTCATTAATGTTGTATCCTTGTTGTTATAAAATCTGAAGTTCACTATTACAGTTATTTTTTTACTCTTTTGTATTTAGGACCTCATAATACTAAGATGTTCAGGAAGAACTAAATATTAAAAACAAGAACAGATTTTTGGGACATCAAATCTGATATCCTTGAAATTGGCTTGACCGATAGAAGATTTTTGGGTCTGATTTAGGTCTAACTTATAAATAACTTTTCATTCTTTTCTTGTTCTTCAAAAAGTAATATCACCTTATCATAGAGACAGAGAAAGTCACAGGTTCTTCAAGTACCACTCCAAAGAATAGAGCATCTGAAAATATGCTGATATGCTGTATGTACATTTTTGCTAGTTGCTAGTTCATGATGATCATGAAATAATCTAGTTACAAATAAAAATGCAATCCATATCCTTCTGAATCTGTCAATCTGTCCAGAGTTGAAGTCATCTTTTAGTGATAGTTACTGGTAAAAATTGTTAGAATACATTTAACTGCTCATAACTTTTGCCCTACACTGGTACCCTCCCCTGAGTATATTGGAATTTTCTGCTCATCTCTCTCTAAGGAAACTGTCAAATATTTGTCCCACTGCATCATGTGTTTCTAAGAATCCACATGAGGAAAGAGCACTTGGCAGAGCAGTCTTGTTCTTTACCATCCAGGCTTTGATTTCAGGCCTAAAAATCATAATTTTTAGCTATCATAATGGAAAAATAATCAAGGAACAGAGTAGACGACCATCTCTTTTGGATGCTGGTCCGGTAGGTAAACTATTCACTGAGCATTGTGGGTAGTGGCCAAAGCATCAGTGTCTCACCTGCAGTGTAATGGCAGCTTTCTTGGTCATGGACTGATAAACACCATTAAATTCCACATTGTGGTCAAGGTCATACACTGGGCACTGCAAGCATGCATAAGGGAGGAAAAAGAAAACATCATTAATGTCACATTACATGTAGGTTCAGTCTGGGCCTGTCCACCTAGATCTGTAGATCACAGAGTGGAGGATTTCCTTACCAAACCAGAAACCATGAAAAATCCCCTCAACCCAGTACGTTCATGAAACAGACCTCCCAGAACCTGGTACCGTGTCCTCTAAGGTCAAATCATTCTATACTGAAGTTGACTATGAAAAGATTGTAAGTGTATAGTATCTTTTCTATTTGTTGTTAACACCTGGCAAGACAGAAAAGCTAGTGTCACACTCGAAATTTTAAAGCAGAATGAGCAATAGGTTTCTATTTTTCTTGTGGACCCCACACTTGGTCTTCTTTGTTCTTAATCATGATCCAGCCTCTTTCCTTCCCTTCTTCCCTTCCTTTCTTTCTTCATTCCTTTATATTGGTGAGAGATCAATTAATCTTGACCTCACTAAATTAGTCTGCAAACATGCACTGTCCTCTTAGGTGCACAAGACACTATTATTATTTGGTAGTTTGGGGGAGACATGTGGTAAAAGGCTGGCACTCCTCCCTTTCATTTACTCCTCCCTGTCATACACTCTGGAATAACATATTACTCCACACTAGAGGTTGACCAGTATCAGGACTCACCATGATGTTCTGGACCGAGACAACAGAGCAAGGATAAGCCGTTTCAGACACCACTTTAATGATAACTGAGTCCACATCTTTGGGAAATTGGTATAGAAAAAACTAAGAATAAGAAAAAAGAAGACACAATTTTTTTTATAATAATAAATGTTTACAGTTATAGACTCAAACTGTTTTTACATGAACAAGAACGCTGTCTCTGCTAGCAGGCACAAATTCATATACAAATCTCAATGAGTCCCGGTTCTTTGGGCCACCATTCACCTCACACATACTGAACAACCAACTGCCCTGCCCCAGGACTCTGCACCAGACATCGAAGACGCTGAGCAAAGCAAAGGCGCCATTTCACTTCCCCTATGACCGTGTCTTATTTTAAGGGCAACTTCACTATATGCCATTCCATCTCCTACTAAGGAAGTCCTCCTCATTGCCTCTGAATTAGAGACATATGGGATGTAAAATGAGACCAGATTATTTCTGTGTGGTCATTGTGACATATGAAGCACTACCCTGAAAAGCAGAAAAGCTTGTTCTTCAAGAGTTTTGGCCACCTTCCCACAGACAATAAGTAGGACCAGACCAGCCCATTTTCTAGAACTTTTGCTAGAGGATCTATTTCCTGCTTGGAATATATTAAGAAGATTCTCAGATTCAAAGCCTTATACCCAGTTCCTGAAATATGCTGATTGTTTTGGGCAGATTGAAAAATCTTTAAAGGTAATTTTGAAATATTACCAGAGTTAGGAAACATTTCTTATAGAAAGAGTTTATTATCTATTTATCTAGCTAGACTGTTAATCTATTGGAAAAATGTACTAATTTTTAAATTTTGAACATGTTACTAATCATGAAGAAAGGGGAATTGTGCTCAGTAATGATAACTGGTTGAGAAGCATGTTAATCGTACAATTAAGAGTTTGAGAAAACTAACCAAAACAAATTTCATATCCTAGGACTCTAATAAGTCTGTCACATTAACAGAGAAGCACAGGCTGGGGAAGTAGCTCAGTGGCATAGCACCTGTTTGGAAAGCACCAGGTTGTAAGTTTGAATCCCAGTACCAAGGGGGGAGGGAGACACATGAAATTATAAGTTTGTATTCTTACACCCTTTTTACTAATCCTGTTTTGAGAACTAAGTTAATAAAAAATAGAATGGTCTTTAAATGTTTTTAATGGGGAAAAAAACCATCTGAAGAGTCATTTTAAACTGCTGTTTGGAGGTCTATCCCCGCCTTGTGACAGATGGTAACACCCCTAAGAACCTGCTAAATTTAGGGGTTGATTCAGATACTCACAATGTAAGGAGCAGAAAATGTGGAATCTAGACTTTCTAAGAAGTGTTCCTGGTTCTCAGGGGAACCATACTTCGTCATTCAAGAACTTTACTGTGGATGCTGTAGCAATGATGACATCATATACATATATATATATGAATGATAGTGAATGGCTTTGTGCAAGCAGCTGACACATACTAAATCCTTTTCAATAGGCAGAAGTATGATTAACCCGGTTTATCTCTAAATTGCCATAGATTCTAAATCAGTGTTTTTTTTTTTTTTAACATATCACTTAATAATCCACTTTTACCAGGAAGAAGCAAAAAATAATCCAAAACAATGACTGCAGTTTGAGCTAAAAATTCACCACATGGGTCCTGCCTGCCTGCTATGTAACCAGTCATTTCTGCAACCTGCCTCTATCCACAGGAGTAGAGGCCAACGGTGATTGATGCATGTCATCTGAGGATGTGCACTTGTTCAGGCGAGTTTATAGGAACAGAATAGCTTTCCTATAACCAAAAAGGATCTAATACACAGGCCAAAAGGGGACCAGTTAAGAATAAATTAAGACTTTTGTAGCTGTCAAAGTCTGTGTGTTGTTTATTAGTTTGCTCTAATTATGCTTCATTCTAGTTTGGGGGTTACATTCTACTTTGGGGGTTATTTACATATTGACTTTTATATAATTTTTACAATACAAAGAAACCAGAACATGTAATTATTACTAATTTTCAGACTACCAGCACTTCTATTATATGGTATGGTACATGTGATACATATATTATTTTATACAGGACAATGTCTGTTATCTTCTGTAAGTCAGAGTGTAGGTTATTACCCCCTTTTCTAGGTGTCTCCGTTCAATGACATCACATTAGCAGCTTGAAATCAGGCATGGAAGTATTTATGCTACAGGAATAAATGGGGTGGCACTACAAACCAGGCCTTTTCTGAGCTGCATTCAAGTATTTACCTGCAGTACAATGACTCTAAGAACCATACAACAGGTTCATAATTGTGTGTGTGTGTGAGTGTGTTCTGAGACAGAGTCTCACTATGCAGTACAAGCTGACCTTGAACTTACTGTGTAGCCAAGACTGGCCTTGAATTTACAGAGATCCTCCTGCCTCAATCTCCTGAGTGTTGGGATTATAAGTGTTTGCCCATGCTTGGTTCGTAATATTTTAATATAACTTTGATTATATCCAAAACAAAAAATGAAGTGATCATTATTACCAAAGTTGTCTTATGGCCTACAGATAATTTATACTAAATATTTTTTAAAAACCTGTTATAAACTTGCTATTGTCTAGATCCTTCTCTTTCAAAAGCTATGAAGGAAAAATAAAGGTAGCTAGAATGTCACCAGAGAAAAAGGCTGAAGTAATCAACATTATTATTATGTATTCATTGTTTATGACTGTGGTTTAATGAAGAGCACATCAAAAATAGCTAATTTTCAATGCTTTTGTCAGCATTCCTGCTCTTTCTTTAAAATGGGAAAAACTAATTGAATTCATCAACAATATTTTAGGAATTCAAATCTATCTTACTTTTATTGCATTTTCAGCTCAATTATTTGTATATTTGCTTGGCATCTGCCTTCCACTCCCTGTCCTCCCACCCCACCCTATCAGGTCCATAGCGACAGAAGTTGTGTCTCTCTTCCTCATCCTGTGTTCTCAGAACCTAATACTGTACTTATACTAGGCCACGATTTGCTCAATGAACACCAGAAAGTAAATAGTGTTTTTCCCATTTCATGCCAATTAAGTGACAAGATCAAATGTTGTGTTCAAAACCACCCAGAATACAAATACACCTCAAGCTGCAAAAGATCAAGGACAACACACATGGCTGACTCTCTTTGATTCCACAGAGAAGGCTCTTGCTAACTCTTGGAACTTTTCACCTACCTGAGGTTGAGAGGGGCTGGCGGTAAAGTGAAAGGCAACATTTGTCCTGAGAAATGTAAACAGGAAAAAGGAAAAGGGAAAAAAATGAATAACAAAGCATAGGTTAGCAAGTGAAAATTTATTTACAAGAAAGCCATCTTAAATTAGATGCAAGGAAGAGAGATTTACCCTTTTTGCAAAGAATCTGATACTATCAAACTGATAAAATTCCATGGGGACTTTGTTGTGGTAATGTCAACTATAAACAATGGTCAAATTGGGAAAAGAGATTGTTTTTATATATTCAAATATTCATGAAGTCATTGATACCTGAGTAAGTATTTCATTTATACTTATGGACACTTTGCCTTTGAACACCCTTAAGATTTCATAGTTAAGGCTGAAATTTAGCTCAGTAGCATTAGCACTTGCCTGGCAAGCACAAGGTTGTAAGTTTGACCCCTGGTACCCTCCCACCAAAAAACCCAAAAAAACTTCCCCCAAAACACACAGTGAAAGCTTTCACAGTCAAGCATAAGAGCTAGGCATCAGAAATGGGAGGAAAAAGAGAAAATGCAAGCTTGAAGGTTGTTTTAGATAATGTAAGTGACACTTTTAAATAATTTTGACTGACACATGGCGAAAGATCATTTAAAAAGCCCATGGTGAATAGGTAATCACTATGGGACAGTCCATAGGGATAGAAATAGGTTTTTCCCACCCATAAGCATTTAGGCAACTGCTTGCACCCCTCACTATAATTCCTCTCTTCTCTAGCCTATTCATTGCCTTCTAAGGCCCACCTTTAAAACATAAACACTACCCAAAATATAATTTAATTTAGTGTGAATTATTGATTAGATACTAAGACAGCAATGAGCCAGGCATGAAGCATGTGTAGGAAGCAGGAATTTGGAGCACAGATGCTGTCTGGAATGAACATTTGTGAAATACTTCAAGAGACTGGAAAACACGAAGACCAACTTCTTCTCTGTAGCTTTGTGAGGGCTGTTCTTGAGCTTTTGCCTTTTCAGGGTCTTGCCACACCATTAGCCTTACAAAAGATCACTCACACGAGGCTGCTGTCTTACAATTCCCCAGGCTGTGGAAGTGCCATCCCTTGGGTGTCATTGCCCCATTTCTCTGACATGCACCCCTGCCTGTGTTTTGGAGAGTCTGAACCTGGACTTCTGAGATTCCTCTCCATCTTCTTCCCCTGGTGCTCACTGAAGACTTTGTACTCCCACTGTTTCTTTTATAATCAATAATTTTTTAAAAAAAATGAACAATAGCTGTTAAAAAGGCACATAAGCAAGATATATCTAATTAGAGATGTTACTTAGAAGTCACAGAATCTGAGCACTGTTATAATCCACTAGCAACTCCTGAGATCCTCACCATGTTGGAACTTAGGACCCTGGGAACCCAAGCAAGCAGCTCCCCTTCCTGGTAAGTGGCTGTGGTGTGGCAGGCTGCAGTCACCCCTGGGGAAGAACCACCAGTGTCTCCTGAGATCTGCGCCATGTTGGAACTTAGGCCACTGGAAAACCAAGCAAGCAGCTCCCCTCCCTGATAAGCGGCTGTGGTGTGGCAGACTGCGGCCACGCCTGGGGAAAAACCACCAGTGTGTCCTGTGATTCATGCTGTGTTGGAACTTAGGACACTGGGAAACCAAACAAGCAGCTCTTCTCCCTGGTAAGGGGCTGTGGTGTGGCAGGTTATGGCCCCTTTAGGGGGAAAACCATCAGTGTCTCCTGAGATCCGGGCCATGTTGGATCTTAGGACACTGGGAAACCAAGCAACCAGCCTGTCTCTCTGCTAAGCAATAGTGAGCCTACTGGTCCATGGGCTAGAGTCAAACAACCCACTTCCCCTAACACCTTTTGCTGACCCCCATTAGCAAATGGGAACCAGAGATCTGAGCATCTCTTGGTAGGGTGACCATAGCAAACAAGGGGGATTTCCATCTACCATCTTTTTGAAGACAAATATTTTTATTACTGTTTTGCTTTATTCTGATTCATGGTACTGCTATATTTAATATTCTGTTTTGATAAGTTCTATAATGTTCTGTATTTCATTTTATTTTGATATATGTGGTTGAAAGAACAACTATTAGAAGATAACTAGAAATACTGTGATACCTATTATTGTTATCCCAATAATCTGCTGTGAAGTTCTGTACCAATTTCACTACACTGTCTCAGTTGGCTTTATTCTGTCTTGTTCTGTTGTATTTTACTACCCTCAAAATAAAAATTAAAAAAAAAAGTAATGGCCACAATATAGGCTGTCACTGAACTGGACACAGAATTTAGTTTCCACCAGTGGATACCACTTTTATATGTTAGCTTTCAACAGAAATCACCATCCGTGTGGAGGATTAGCTTTGCTGATGTACAGGTAAAAACTTCTGGCTTCAGATCACCTAAAGAAGCCAAAGTCAGTGCGCCAAAACCAGTTGTGTGTCTTCTCCAGAGAGTTCATGGCCACAATCAGAACCCACCGTGGTATGTGTGGCCTGGGAGTGCTCTTTCAACAGTCAGGGGATTGTTGTCTGCTGTCAGCAGGGCTACTCTCTTGTTGCCAGGTCAGTGGAACCAACAGGACATGATTTCCTTGGCTAGAACTGAGAGTATGAGATTTCCTGAAGGAACTTGCGTACTTTGGCTATATCTTGAGTTTTTATGACCAGGTCCCATCATTTGAATTTCAAGTATAATACTGAACTTATGGATGTCTTGGTTACTTTTCTCTCATTGTTGAGACAAAGTATGTGACATCCAAAATGAAGAAAGGAAAGGTTTATTTAGCTTAGGTTTTGGAGGTTTCAGTTCATACTCAGCTAGTTCCAAGGCAGGGTGGCATGGCTAAGGGGCAGTGTTCATGGAGACTGCAAGCAACATGAGTGAAAGGGCAAAAAAGGAAAAACATGTCTCCTTCCCCCTTTTACACCGTATGCCAGCTCTCTGCCCCTGGGTGGATGCAGCCCTCACACTGCCAGTCCCAGCTAGACAAAAACAAGCACAAAGGCTACATTCAGCCACCCCCATGATTGCATGAGGCTTTGGGGGGACTTTTAAACAAACCACAACCATGGTATCAATAAACATTTTTGGGGTTTTTCTTGTTCTTTATGTTCTATTTGCTAATATGATGCATGGAAACTGAGTGTACATCATGGACTTTAAGTCTTCTTTTTCATAAAGTCAGCAGCATGTGGAAAATGAGCATTGTGTCTGCTGCTGATGAAACAGTCTGCTGCTTCTCACCTATGAAAGACAGGGGTCATATTTTTCAAGGGTCATGACCAACAGAAAAAGTAACTGAAACTCATAGGTACATTTAGTTTTAGAGAAAGAGGCATCACAGTCTAAATTTATTTGTCTTAAAAATTAAACACAGGAAACAAATGTTCAGTACATCTAAGAGACTAAAACCCAATTTTGTTTCCTTGTTTTGGCAATTTATAAAAGAGGGAGAAGGAAAGAGAAACAGATGGAGTCAAGAGGGGGAAGATAAAAGAGATAAAGGAAATAAGAGGCAGAGAGGGACCCACGGAGATGAGAGAGAGAGAAGAAACATTTATAAAAGTAAAAGAAAGGGGAGATGGGAAAAGAGGATGAGTGGAAGGAGAGGGAGGGACAAACGTCCAGTAGTTTTGAGCTGAGTCCCTCAAGCACTGTGTGGTCGCAGCATCTTAGTCATCTTGTATCAGCAAGCTCTGGGAACACTTGGTTTGCTGAAGGAAATGACGCTCTATTACTCCCTTGGACTATGGACTTCAAACAGCCTTCCCTGTTATCTCCTGGCCGCCATCTGTCCCCTTCACTAGGCTCCCTTCACTAATCCTAACCTGCCTGCAGCCTTCCTGCCATTTCTAACCGTCTGCCCTTCATCCACCTACCCAAGTATGAACTCTCTACTCATGCACTAAATTCTATCCTTTGTGCCCTTTTCTGGGAGTTGGCTTCTACAAATAGCCAACTCTCCTACGAATTTAACATGCCTTTGTACTCTGTCATTTATAAATATACTCTAGCCTCAACCATTTTTTTGTTTGTTTATTTTTGAGACAGAATCTCACTATGTAGTGGCCTTAAACTTGCTTATGTAGCCAAGGCTGGCCTTGAACTCATGGTGATCGTCCTGTATCAGCCTCCTGAGTGCTGGGATTACAGGCATGCACCACCACATCTGGCTTTTTGAAAGAATAACCATTTCAACCAAATTCCACCCTTATCCCTGTTTCTGCCTTCTGAAATGTCATCTGACATCCTTTCCTTCAGTAATCAGCTTCTTAAAGAGTATTCTGCCCTCATCTGTCATTCGTTCTTCCCTATCAACACTGACATTAAGGTTCTTTGTCCATTACCTCCTTGAAATTGCTTTTGCTGAGAGCAGGACTCACCCATTCTCTATGGCCATTTGAGAATCTCTAACAAAATATCACAAACTCTGCTCACATTTTTGTTCGCTTTTGCAGTGGTGGAAATTGAATGAGGGCCTTGAACATGCTAGGCAAATGCTCTACCACAGAGTCACATCCAGCCCCCTGGGTGCTTTTAAGTGACAGATATTTACCGCTCACGGCTCTGGGAAGCGTGACGTCCAAGATCATGGCACTAATAGGTTGGTGTCACATGAAGGCTTTTGTCCTTATTACTGGTGGCTTTTTGCTGTGTCTTTTTGTGGTGAAAAGTATGAGGAGTCTCTCTGATAAGGACATTCGTAGCATTTATGGGGGCTCTGCTCTCATCATCCCTTCTTTTTCCCAAATCCCTCCTTCCTAGTATCATCACCTTGGGTTTCAGGATTTGAACACACCAATTTGGAGTTCACAAACATTCAAACTACAGGATCTTCTAATTGCTAAATTCAATCACTCGTCGGCAACTATCTTTACCCGTGTGTGGTGTTAGACATTTGGCAATCACTTCTTCTTCCTCTTGAAATACTTTCTTCCTTATGCTGATATCACATTTGTTTCCCTGGGGTTTCTTCCATTTATCCAGCTGTTCCTACTCAGCTTCTTCTGATAGTTTTTGCTTCTCAAGCCATTCCTTAAATGAGACTGTTACCCACAACACTAGTCTTGGTTTTCTTATCTTCTTGAGTCACATGTGTGCATGAATATATATAAATTCATTTGCCATAAACACTACAAAAACATAGGTGACTCTTAAGACTCTAGGTCCTGCTCAGGGCCATCTCCTGGGCTCCAGTAACAGAAGAGAGAACTTCCACTGGGCTTTCACACTTGACTGTCCCTCAGATTCCTCAAACTCTGTGTGCTCACAATGGAATGTACTGTCATTTCCTAATCCCGGGCCATTATGTCTTTTTCACAGTAATCCTCCGAATTCCCAGCAACACTGCAGGGCTTATTTCACATTCTTCCCTTTCAACCACCTTCCATATGCGATTGATCTCCATGTTCTTCTCATTTTATTGTATAAAAGGAATCCAATGGATCTGCCCAAAGCACCATTTTTATGTAAGACATCATCGATAAAAAAAAAAAGGAATATAGTTTTTACTGTAGTCTCTCCCAAAATACCAAGGAATGATTTCATAGTAAGATGAACAGCCCAATTATTTCAATGCCTTACCCAATTTATTTCTTTGAAAACTACTTTTCATAGCATGGTAGCTGAGCTATCTTATTGTATATTTTCTCTGCTAAATATTGAACAATAAAATATCTCAAAAATCACTACTTAGAAGGTTAGAAGAGGATTAAAACCTGCAAGTATTAACACAAGACTATAATTCTTATTCTGCCATGCTATTTGTTGAATTTGTAAATTATCCTGTCTAATAACTCTTTTCTTCCTTACAGTTTTATTGCTTTCATAATGCTCAGTTATGATCATTTAAACGTTTTTCTTCATTCAAATAATTATTTGTCAAAATGCCTCTATTCTTTCCTCTATTCCAAATCATCTTCACATTCACTAAAGTTATCTCTAAAAATCTGATCTGTTCCTTTTATTCTGCTGTGTAAAATTCTTCAGGGGATCCCATAACATGGAAGGTAGAGTCCCAAATCCCTGGTTTAGCATTCGGTGCATTACAGATCAGGTTGGACTAGCACTCTGGAGGTTGAGGCAGGAGGATCGCTATGAGTTCAAGGCCAGCCTGGGATACCCTGTGAGTTCAAGGTCAACCTGAATTGCATAGTGAAACCTTGCCTAACACACACAAACACACACACACACACACACACACAGGAACAGAGCATGGTTGGTACAGCACCCAGGTCCAATGGAGCAGCCTTCCTGCAGTGTGTCTACATACTCGGTCACTCAGCGTTCATCCTTGACTATCTCACTGACACACACACAGCACTTTGCTAGACTTCTGCATCAGACCTAGAAATTGGTGGAAAGCAGGGAGCAACAAAGCAGAGGGGAAAAGATGTATATATTTCAGTTAGTGTTGTTTCTGAGGCCTACCTTGGTGGCCTAAAAGCCCTAATAACAGTGTGCACTTTGAAATGCTTTCAGTGTCTATTTGCTGAAGCTGTCATATGAAAAAGAGGTAAAAACAGAAAACAAGGTGGCAGAATAGATTTGCAGTTTCACCAGCATGGATGGAAATCATGCATTAACACTTTCCCAAAGGTATGACCTTATGACTACAGTTTCACAGAATTTTGCTCTCCAAAGGGTCTAATTATCTCTCAAAAATCCAGTCCTACAGTGTAAGGACACTGAGACCAGACAACAGTGACAAGTTAAAGACATGGAGACCAATTAGTAAATTCAATGCTTCTCTGAAGTGCAAACTGAGTTCCGTTCAAATAATATATCACCACCCTCATTAAATGTATAACCCTTACTTTCCCTGTGAGTCAGTGCCATTTGCAGACTATGGGGAGAGAGAACAAGCATTCACCAAGAAGCAAGCCCGCCCGGCAAACCAGCGCCATGTGTGGGTCACTGCCACCAAACCCCAGCCCCTTCTGGCAGACGTGCACACTGGCAAACAAAAAGAGCCAATCTACTCCTCCTCCACCCCGTTAGCGACCAGCTGATCCAGAGAACACAGGCTGTGATGGTAACTGTTGAGGTGAAATGTAATTTGATGCTTGTGGTGTTTGGTGTTAGTCACTGATCTTGCAGGTCTAGGGCCAGAGGTTAGCAGTATGCAGTGTGGCTCTTAAAATTACCACATAACCTTTTTCTAGTACCAGGATTAAATGGAGGAAATTGGAACTAATTGCTGTGACTACTTCTCCGTCTTTCTGAGCATTCGCACTGTTTCTATGGGTGTCTATCCTGTCAAAGGGTGTAGTGAAGACCAGGATAAAAATCTAATTCTTCTTAGCAACTTCACTGGCTATAAATCTCTTTATAAACTGCTCTAGGAAATTTAAAGAGGGCTTTCTAACAGCATAGAACATACTGATCAGAAAAATAACCTGAAAACAAGGTACCACACTGCATTTTGAGTATTCTGATTTTTTTCAATTAACTTTTCATTTAAATAGACCAAGAAGCCAACTTATCAGCCTTTCTGGTAAGCTGCACAAGCCAGGCAGGGCGCAGGAAGAGAAAATTCAGATAGTGCCGTCTGTGAGTCTACTGGCACGTGGACTGAGAATCACCAGCTCTCCCCCGCTCCTCCCATTTCAGAGGACAGGCTGAGCTGGTGGCACGGGGGCAGCTGAGTGCTTGCATTGTTTGGTCCACTTTGCAGGCCTGGGCTGGCAGTCTGAGCATCTAAAGGGAGGATAACAGTGTGCAGTATAGTAAGTAGGGTGAATTTCCTTCTCTCTTGCTTTGCAATCCAATATTGTTCTCATTGTCTTGCTTTGTTCTGATTGTTTTGCTTTATTCAATATTCTGTTTTGGATTGGTTTTATTCTATTTTGTTTTGATTTGACTTTTCTATATCTGATGAAATGGACACCTATTGTGAAGATAACAAGATACACTATGGTAGCCATTGTTGTGTTCCTATTGTCCTGCTTTGAAGCTCTGTTCCAATTTCACTGCTTTGTTTTGATTGGATTCATTCCGTTTCTTTTTGTTGTATTTTATTGTCTTTCAAATAAAATAAGATAATTAGCAAACATATAGAAAACCACACAAGTTATAAACATTTGTCGGAGCAAGCTTTCGTAAGGTAAACAGAACACAATGCCCTTATTTCCTACTCACAGATATCACTATTTTGTCCCTTAATATTATGGAAATAGCTTTGTCTTTTAATAAACTTTATATAAATGAAATTAAAGAGCACCTTTTCCTTTTGGATGGCTACTTTTGCTCACAGTGTTGAGCAAAACAACATTTATCCATGCTGTTAAGTAGAGCAATAGTCGTTCATTTGTATTGTTGTACAGAATCCTACTGAATGACTATCATAACTGGGACTGGCACTGCACTTTAAGGGCTCTCAAAGTACATATAGCACTTCGGTTTTGTGTGTATAGGTATGTGTGTGTGTGTGTGTGTGTGTGTGTGTGTGTGCAAGAGGGATTTATAAGGCAGAATATTAAAAGTATACCCTCAAAGAAATAGTATAAGCCCTAAAAGGTAGAAAGGAGTTTATAGTTTGGAGCTGGGAGTATTTATGTGCTTTTGGCAGTGGAAATCTGGGAAATTTGTGAATCTATGTAAAGTCTGTTCTTGGTTTATGGGAAAAAAGCAATGGCCTACCCACAGGTAAAAAGGTAATACCATTAAAAAAGAATGGATTGAATCTACTGTTTTTTTTTGTTTTTGTTTTTTTTTAAAGATGAGTGTTCTATCCCCTACCCTCCAAAAAGACCCATTCTTTGAAACCTTTGAATCTGTTTGTCTTAAGTTTAGGTTTCTGTCCTTCACTTTATCAACTATGCTAATTTATGCACCTGTAGTATCTATAAGGATTTTGGGTATGATTGGTCTGGAAGAAAAGAAGCATAAATGAGCCTAGAGAAGTGATGGTGAAGCTTTTAGAGACCAGCATGCATGCTGCAACCCAAAACACACTTATGTTTATAAAGTGCCACACTGCATTAAACCTGAATGTATTAACATCTTTTGTCTTAAAATAAAAACAAATAGCATGCTTGTCATAGATTTGCGACCATGACTTAGCGAATATCGATATGGGGAAACTTGTATAACTCTCTGTCCTAAAATTGCAGCATTCTTAAAAAGAATAATTTTTAAATTATGATTTTCCTTGTCTCCTTCTTAACTATCTTTATTTCTTTTATCCTACCTCCTTTCCTGTACTTTAATAGTTGAAATGAAATTTCATTATGATTTTAATGTACATTTCCAATAGCTAATAAGTTCTATCTATTTCCTGTTTGGGGAAAATCTTTAGTGAATGGCTAAGATTTATCCTTATGTTTTTCTCCGGTAGGGTTTCCCTATTTAAAAAACAAGGACAAAAATAATCCTGGTGACTCCAGAGGACAAGGACATTTCTACCAACACTCCTAAACTGGAAGGGTAAAATAAGAATAGTAATAAAGGTATGGAAAATAGTTTAAAGTCTTTCCTAAAATGAAAACAAAAATTCCTTTGGGAGTGTGGCATACTCACGAAGGTATGAGGTGAAGATTCCTCTAACTAAAGTGTTAAGAAGAAATCGAGTACTCTTCCCACCTGTTCTGTGCTACCTCCCTCTTGCATTGTAAGACCTTGCTAAGCAGCAGAGTTTGAAGGTTCTGAAGTATAATGCTAGGTGAGCAAGGTCCTTGCAGAGTGCTAACGTGTAGGAATGTAAGCTGCTCTCAGCATCCACAAACACAGAAACAGCCAACCAATGAACAGAAGAGGGGGCATGTGAGTGCTGCTTACCAGAGCTGGAAGTGCTTGAGCTTGGTGACCAGCAATTTGTAGGGGACACCAAGTGGTGCCATGGATGCCACATCTACAAATATCAGTTGCTCCAAAGGCCCCGTTTCATTGGTTGCTTTTGAAGGACATAAAGTGCGGCTGACTTCCTGGTAGCTGTAGCTCCTCTGGTATCTGTAGCAGCCAAAGGAGGGCAATTTTGGCAAGAACAAGAAAGAGACTGAACAAGCAGGGGAGGAAGCTTTCCTCATTTTACTTCTCTTTAAGTTTGCTTTCAAACCTTTATGCTTTCAGTTTCAGACTGAAACTACTGATAGTAATTCTAGAGCTCGGGTTGTTGGCCCTGGGGGGTGTGAATAATGAAAAGGACAAGCATAGTGTTCTGTGCTGCTCACTACATCATCAGAAAACAGCTGGGTAATTCAATTTTTCTGCCCTTCAAACTTTTGCAATAGAGTCTAAAGAAATCCCTGGGTTCCAAGGCAAAGCTATTTCAATCCTAAATATTTCAAACCTTTAAAAATGATGTAATTAGTATCATCCTGTAGCCTTCTGGGCCTTTTGTTATCAGCACAATGGTGTCTGGGAAAACATGAATTCCATGAGGGTGGGGACGTTTTTATACTGCTGTATCATCCTCAACACCGGCCTCTTGCTAATGATCTGTAAATATTGTTGAATTAATATGTACCCATGGTGTATACATTATGGACACGTTATGTACACATTTGCATGGCGGAAGTGCTGTTCACGTAGGTTGGCTTCTGGATCTAGCCCTTCAGGTGGTTATTGGATGATGCATTATCCAACTGCGGGCTACTGAACATTATAGAACACTATGGTAGATGCTAAAATAGTAAACAGTTTGAAATTCAAATAGGATAGAAATTGAGCAGAGGTGAATAGTCAGGGTGAGCACTATGACAACTGTCTGCACCTAACATGCATGATATCTCAACATTCTCATGTCTGATTTTCTCTTTCCTTGGGGAAAAAGACCACTTATGGAATTGCAGTTCAGGACTTTTCTTTTTCAGTGCTGGGGATGAACCTAGGGCTGTACATGGAGCTATATCCATAGAGCACCCCCCCAGCTTTTGTCTTTTTGAGACAGGGTCTCACTATGTAGTTCAGGCTGGCCTTGAGCTCACTTTGTAGCCCAGGCTTGTCTCGAATTTGTAATGATCCTCCTGCCTCAGCCTCCCTGATACTGGGATTACAGGCATGTAGCACCACACCCAGATCCACAGCCCTTTTTACTTTTTATTTTGAGGGAGGGTCTCAATGAATTGTTAAATTGCCTGGACTGGGCTAAACTTGGAATCCTCCCACGTCAGCTTCCCAGTGTGCTAAGATTACAGGCAGGTATGACCATGCCCGGCTCAGCGAGGACCCTCAGGAAATCCAGATATAACTCAGAAAAGCTATTTGAGAAAAGGTGACTTACAGCCCTTGGAAGAGCAGAGGAACCTGCCAGGACAGCACCTCTTTCTGCTGGCGAACCACAATAAGAAGTGGGTAATCAAGGTTCTCAGAGGAACTGTTCACGTACACCCGCACAGCGGTCACCTGCGTGGCAGAGCAGAAGGAAGTAAAGCAAACCACGTGCGCACACAGACACACACAGACACAGGTGTGCACACACACACGCACACAGATAGACACATATATGCAACATTGGCTCAGGAAAACACAACACATTTTGAGGCTAAAGAAAACTTAAATTTCTGATATATGCTTTTTGCAATAAATAATCCAAATGTCTTATTTGTATTTCCATATTTGTAGTGTAATCCAAGTGGGTTTCAGCCTTGATTGTACGTTGCAATCACCTGGAAAATTTTAAAAACCTGAAACAGAATTTTAAAAGTTTAAAATTCGGATTCCATTGGTCTTGGGTTAGGAGCCTTCTAATAGTGGTGGAGCTTGAATTGAGCAGGGACCACAAGGTTTTGTGAAAAAGCTCAGAAAAGGTGGGGGGAAAAGAGATGTTATATTGATGACCTTTTCTTATCTGAATATAGCTATAAAAGCTACAGATATATTAAAATACAATCTTCCCACCAATACCTTGTAAGACCTTCAATTGCTGGCAAACTTTAATCTTGGTTTGGTAAACTGTTCGGTGTTTCAGACCACAATCTTAATGGCCATGTTTTATTAAACCCTAACAGATGGTTCCCACCACCACCAAATCATGACGCCTTTCAGGAACAGATACTGTAGAGGCTGAGGGTTCTCTGCCTTGTTCCAAGGCATAAACCAGTCTGCTGCCCAAGGCTCCTTCCAAATAAGCATGCCAAACCAAGGATTTCCCCCCTAAAGGATAGACCTTTAAAGATAGGTCACTGAACTATTGCCCTAGAGCTAGATAGTTTTGGTGCTTTTTTATTTTTCTATTTTCAATTTTTACAATACCATAGGCAATATGGACGAGAGAGAAAAAAGCTCCCCAAAAGAAAATTCGATTTCCCACATGCAATTTTCACTTATTCCCTCTTGAAGAGTCCTATATTAAGAAAAAGAAAGTGACATAGGAAAATCCTGCAACTAAGCCCTGAAGATCTATCACAACATCAGAATGGAATCTGAGGGGATGCAGAGCAGGATGGGCTTTGTATATGGCCACTTAGTTATATTACTTTTCCTAATCAAGCAGCTGCTTTTTCAATGCTAACATAGTGCAAGAGTAATTTATTAACTTGACCAGAAGTGTTTGCTCATGAAGGAAGTCCACATTCTACACATTTTCATGGAAATTGTGCTGTAGCCTAGAATTACCAAAAACCATACCTCCAGCATTTAAGCTCTTTTCTGAAGTTCTGGATGTTCCGTAGACACTCCAAAATCAACATGCCTGAGATGACATCTCTCACTGCCTTCACTACTAACTTTAATTTCCTCTGAATTCCTTGCTTGATGAATAGTCTGGACATATAGTCACTCACCAAACCTGAAACCTGGAAGTATTCTTGGTTCCTACTTCTTTGACTTCCTCAATCAGTAGGCTTCTAATGCCTTCCTACTGCTCACATGCAGGCTGTCCTTCTACCTCCAAAGGTACTCTTATAGCTCAGTCCTTCATGCCAGTGATCCCCAAGGAAGCCCCTACTCAGTCTTCCTATCCCCAGGGCTGTACCCTGTCCCGGCCAACTCCATCTATGCTCCTGTGCTGAAAACACCTGCAGTGACCTGCTCCCTCCCTGGGTTGTTCTGAAGTACACTCTGAAGATCATGTCATTTAATCTACATAATTCAATCTAGACCTCTAAGAGATCAGATTTCTGCTTTTTAACACAAACACATTAATATCCCACTTAATGAAATTCTTCTTTAACATTCTCCTAAGATATACTCAGCATTTGAATTTTATTAACTATTTCAGAAATTGATTTATTTTCCTAGTTTCTTTTTAAAAGTTGGATATATATGAAAGACACATGTTGCATTTGGTTCATGTTGCATTTGGTTGCATTTTGAAACACTTCAGTATCTGTAGATTGAAATGTCCCTCCTTTTGAGGGTGGTTGTTAAAGAAAGAAGCTCATAAAACAATAATAAAAGTCTGAAATCCTCACATTCTGGGTTTTTCTGACTGAACTCTAGATCCTTAGAAGAAGGCTCACATGTGAGGTTGTAGTACAAATAGCATTATATAACCTATGTTTTTAGCACACAGTTTAATTCCCTTAAGTCTACAGCTGTCAAAACCAATGTGAACCTAAAGAAGACTGTGAAATAGGCGAGTTTTAGCTTTTTAATGTATCTGTTTCTCTTTTATTCACTAATGCAACCTCGTCTGCCCTTCTTGCTACTGAGTGTAAGAGGGTATTACCCTCAATTTCTTCTTTTTTACACCCTAATCTAAGGCGATGATTCATAACGTTTGTAATTCAGACCCTTCAACTGAACTCCTAGGCTTTCTGATGTAGCACATGAGGAGCAGAACTTAATATAAAACTATACATTTCACACACATACACTGGATGGTTCTGATGTAGTTCGGGGCTTCTAGCTTGGGAAGTACCATTTACATGGAACTGTCCAATGGAAGAACCCATTTGTCAGCAACTTGCCAGCTGCCCGTTAGCATCAGATGCACATCCGTGGGACAGCAGTGTTGTAACACATCTGGAAGCTGTGCTTCTTGGGGCAGAAACTGAGCTGGCAAAACAGATGCATCATTGCTATGTTTATTCCCACTCCACTGTTCATCTCCACAACCTAATTTTATTCCTGGCCTGGCTAATGTAATCCATTTACTTTTTTATCACATCATAATCATCTTACTAGTCCTAATAAACACAAATTCAGAGGCGCTGGTATAATAAATTGCAAAAAATATTAGAGTAGGAGAGAAAAGACACTGGTTTTTCAAGATGAACAGATAATGTGTTAGCCCTAGGAAAAGATAAAGAGCGCACTTCAAAATTTGTTTTGCTTTTCTAGAAGGTAATGTGCAGCTGAGAAAATTAAATTACATTTGCAGCAATGAAGTAAGCTGTGTAAAGGAGAAACTAAATGAAGGAGAGGGTACTGACCACGCTTAATGGACTCGGACACTTTGTAACAGACCATTTTTAAGAGCTAAAATTTTTCCTTCTTCCTGTTGCTTCTTCCTGTTGTCATGACAACAAGAGTACTTTCATTACACAGCTCTTGTTTCCCCCAATGTGTGCTACGAGCAGGGATGCATTGTAGCTAAGAGAGAATTATTTCAGTATTCTCGTCTTTGTTAATATATAGATTATGATTATGAAAGATCTTGAAGCTTAGAGACTCCCTTTTTAATCTTTTAGAACATGTCATAGGGGAAAGTTAAAAACTGTTTCTTTTTCTGTTGCAGAAAAAAGGATGAAAATGAGTTTAATTAAGATCAATTTTGGTTTTGCTAAAATAACGAGACTGTGGCCTGTTAGTTGGAACATCAGATTAAGATTCAGAAATTATTAGTTTCATTACTAAGCACACCAGTATTTGCTTGTCTGATCTTGAAAAACAAACTTATTTGTAGAACAGCTACAAAAGTACCCACTGATGGCCCTTTTGGCCAGCGTGTAGTGGATTTAGTAACTGTGTGGGGTTCCCTGGGTGTCTATCTATTGGCATTTAGGTCTTTGGTCCTCTCCCTCTCTTCCTATTCCCTTCCCTCCCATGTTCCCGCCCTCACTCATCAGGCATTCCTGAGGGTTAACCTTGACTCAGGACTTATGAGAGGGGCAGGAATGCTAAAGGCAACCTTCCCTGAAGAAGCCTTGTAATCCAATCAGAGTGACAGTTGGAAACTCCACCAGTAACAGTGCAAAGTGATGAGTATCACGGCAGCCACGTGTGCAGGTGCTGTGGGCATACAACAGACTTAGTGAGACTCTGTGGAGGACTCACATAGAAGGTGATCAGTCACTTCCTAAATTAATGAAGCTGGGCTCTTCCACACAAACCCTACCATTCCCTGATTACTACTTAAGACCTTCGCTCAGAGTAGCAGAAAACACGTGGAAAGATGCTCAAGGAGATCATCTATCCGACTCTACCATTATGCATGAGGAGCCTGAGTCATAGATACGATGTGCCTTCTCCAGAGTATTTGGGTATAGAAGCGTGACCAGAACTTGGATTTCTTTGCCCACTCTCCACATAATTCTTGGTCACAATACACTGTCATCAATACTTTGAAACCTAATTTACTACTACCACTGTGGGTCTTCTCTAATTATGCTACTAGGAAATTAAGACTCTACATAAACACCATGAATGAAGAGGGGAGATAAGCCACAGACTAAGCCATTTTATTTTTATCTGTACAAGTATAGTAGACAAAATATCAGCATCTTAAATATGTAAAAAGTTCTTAAAACTTACAAAAAATCAACCAATGTAAAAATGACTTAGAATATAAACAGCAGCTAAAGAGAAGAAGAATGGTCAAAGAACACGTAAAAAGATATTCATCCCTTTACACTCATCAGAAAGGCAAGGTCTCAAAAGTGTGACATTACCACACTTGCAAGGTTGTAAAGAAACAGGAGCCCTGGCATGTTGCTAACCAAGATGCTATCTGGTACAACCACTTCAGAGAGCAGTTGGCAACATCTGCTAAAGTGGAACATGAGTTCACATTACATTCAGCATTTCCATTCCTAACTTTATATACAAGAACTCTTACATATGCACAAGGAATCAAGAAAAAATGTTCATGTAACATTAGCTGTAATAATAAAATTTGAAACAATTTACATGGCAAAAAAATCTGACAAAAGCATAAATGAATAAATGTTATTCATTTAGTGAAATGTTATACAGTGGTTAAAATTAGATGAAATGGGATATGGACTAGCGTGGATAAATCTTAAGATACATTGATAGAAAGAGCACATGATTCGTGCTATGTCTATCCTTGGTTTTGACTGACAGCTTTGTTTTGCCATATTTGACTTTATTCTCTCCCCCCACAAAAAATTAATAAGAACTAAGGAGTAATAAAATCTAAAATGTGTAAATTTTGTTGTAAAAAAGAGCTCTAACGGATATAACAGCAAGTGTGTTTGGGGGTGTTAAATGGCTGACTA